CTAACCACTGGCCCATCGTACCACCGATCTAAGAAAGGAGGAGGAGTAGGGGTGGAAGGGGGGATTCTTCAAAATGAAGATGAGTGTGATTTGGAACCTAGAGTATTTATAGTGGTTTAGGAATCGTTTGATTGGTGAATCATAAATTGGATTATGCGGGGCCGGCCGCATGCAATCATGAGCATGTGATCCTCTGGAAATTAGTTGATAAATAAACTTCACTAAGTGTGCCTCAGACCAAATGAGAAGCACTGCAATAAATAATTTTTTTCTGTGCCATGTCTTTAAAATATGGAAATTTATTTTACCCCAGCATTTTCAATGGAATTTCTGCTCTAGCCTGCGGCTAATGATGTCGCTAGCGTTCAAACAGTGTTTTGTCTCTAATTACGCTTTAACAGCCAAATGAATGCATAAGTCTATTTAACTGATTGTATTTGGATTACATTACAACATCAATGCTGTCAAATGAACCTTATGAAACTGAAAATAGTAACATAAAGTTCATCACCGACTGAAAAACACTAGCTGTGCATTTAGCCCATTTGTATTGTAACTTCTGTAAGGTCATTTTGGCTATTCGGTTACGTATGATCAAACTGAGTTTTACGAAATAAGTGCTCAAAAAACAAAACAAAAAACACTCAAAAATTTTAGTTACTGTTTGACATTTGGTGAAATAGTAAACAATTCATAAAATTCATTCGCTTTTGAATGAAAATACACAATTTTTAAAAACAAAAGGGCCCATATTACAGGGGCAAGAACAGATTGTATGAAAATGTATGAAAAATGCATACGAGTTAAACACTAAATTGCCAAAGTGTATGATATTTACAAATTACCACAAGATTGCATTAGATCTCTAATGCAATAACGAGATGAAAAATTTGGCATCATTTACTTTATTAACGTCATTTACATCATTTACCTTATGTCATCGCAAATCCGTAGGATTTCTTAGTGAGTATGTTTACATGGACACTAATAATACAATTTTAATATGATTAAGACAATGCTCTGATTAAGTGCTTGTGTAAACAGCTATTTTTAGATTAATTTTATCCGATTAAGGTCATAATCAAACTAAACAGAAATCAGATTAAGGGTGGTTCGGTTCATTTGGTCTGGACCAAGGGCAACAAATGATACATTGTAGCAGTTTTCTGCCATTTTGGGGTCCTTTTCACGCCACACTGCTAGCTTTGGTGCGAACCAGTTGAAAAGAACCAAAATGCAGTCATATGACAAAATCAACATCAATTATTGGCCAAATGTTATTGAACGTATTTCCTAAACTGCTTTTTGATTGGTCAGAATAAACGTATGGGAAAATGTCAATGGAACTCTCGCAAGTAAACAAACCGGCAGACACAAAGTTATGCTTTTTACTATGGAGGGACGACTGGCTGATTGGTCATAGTATACTATATAGTTTGTATAGATTACTTTAGACAAACTATACATTTTGAGAATGAAGCACGGCTGGATAACAATGTTTTAATGCACTGCAAATGGTGGCGGCAAATCACAAGTCACTCCAGGAAGAGACGTGAATTAATTTAGCTACTGCGACATGGTCATCTTCCGGAAATATTTCCAACAATCCATCAGGCAATGTTTTTCCCTCTCTTTCTCTCTCTGTTGGTGAATTGCTGTCAACAAATATTTTTCCTCCACATCCCATAATGCACAGCGCATCGCACTATAACAGCTGGGTTAGTCCTAAAAGGCGCAGTGCTTTTTGTGGTTGGGTCTGCTTTAGTTCGGATCGTGTTCTCACCACAATGGAACTGCTCAAGGGTTTGTTTGAAAGCGTACAGAGACCACTTTTTTAAGGAAGTCTTGGTACGACTTTTTGGTCCACTTTTGGTTTACACTCGAGTGCGATTGCTACATTCACACCTGCCCAAACAAACCGCACCAAGAGGGAAAACAAACTAGTGCAATTCAACCGAACTAAATAAGGCAGGTGTGAAAGCACCCGAAGACATGTGGAGTAAGCCAATTTAATCACATTATTGAAGTGCAGTACAGACATGTAAACACCTTCAACTATTACCGTCATTTAGGATTTTCACAGCGTTTTGCAAGAGAATAGTCCATACATACACGCCTGTTTGACACTATTCTCTGCACCTACCAACACTCTTCCAGCAATTTATAGTCATAACCAATATCTCATTTGTCACGGGGGGCATGCATGAAATGTTCCCGAATGAAAGTGAAAGTACCAAACAGCAGATAAGTTCGACAAATTAAAAATTAAACACGCTAAATTACCTGAAACTCCGGAGGAAATTTGGATAGCGCTGTAATGACGATTAACGAATTATGTGCTATAACATGTAAAACTGGATCAGGAACGGCACATTCAAAAAGCAACTCATGTAAACACCTTCATCATATTATTGTCTTATTCAGATTAAGGCAAATCATTCGATTACTGATGTCCATGTAAACGTAGTCACTGTAATTGGTCACTCAGTGTAACAAACTAAAAATTAAACAACATAATGACCTGACCATAAACATTTTTTGAATGTATAAAATAATGTAATGCTACCAAATTTTTATAAATATTTTTGTTATAATAAATATGTAAAAGTCATTCCTTTAAATAACGTCACATTCTTCTAATAATAAAAAGGGTGCCTAAGAATTATTTAATAAAAACTTTAATAATAATTTATTTGAACTAAATAAAAAAAGAGTTCCATTGACTTTCATTGTACTGATATTTTTCAGGTGAACTATCCCTTTAAATGTTTAACAAACAAAGGCAGCACATTAATCACGTGAGATGGCCAGTAGGTTTCATTTAGCTAAAACCAATCAATCAACAGTATCAGCTAGTCTGAAGCTCTGTTTTCTCTGCCATTGTTAATTACTCCATGCACATCACTCATTGTTCACCTAGATAATGAAGGCCTTTTATTTCTGGACAGAGCACTTCAGCTGCAGACTAAATAGGAGATGTGGCCTTTAGCGTAGTACACAGCAGCTCAAACAATCATAGACAAAGCCTACGGATGCTACAAGCTTCATTAAATCAAGGGCCTCTATATGTCACCAATGGCCTTTTCTCTCACATTTTGCAATAATAGACTTTCTAACACATAACAACTAAATATCCGTCTTTTCTTTTGCACGCTTACACAAAGCCACAGTGTTCGACACTGAGCACAACCCCTCTATATCATCAGGAGTAGTTGTTAGTAATAATAACAATATTATTAATTTTAGTGATAATTTGGATTCATAAAACTTAAGGGGGCATTTGTACTAAAATATACAGTGGCAGAGAGAGCTTAACGCACTGCAATTTAAGAAAACGCGTGCAAATACAACAAATGCCAGCAAATGGAGAAAAGATCTTCATCAGTTTGATAGCACACGCGCTGCAAATCCTCACAATGCAAACACATTTTTAAAAAACGCACTGCATTTTCTCACAACGCAAACAATTCATTAAAAGCGATGCATTTCTTACAATGCAAAAAATTTATAAAACATGCTGCATTTTCACACAATGCTAACAATTTATGAAAACGCGCTGCATTTTCTCACAACACAAACAATTAATAAAATGTGCTGCATTTTCTCACAATGCAAAAAATGAATAAAATGTGCTGCATTTTCACACAGCGTAAACAATTAATAAATTGTGCTGCATTTTCTCACAACATAAACAATTATTAAAACGCGCTGCATTTTCTCACAACGGAAACATTTAATAAAGTGTGCTGCATTTTCTCACAACGGAAACAATTAATAAAGTGTGCTGCAATTTCTCACAACGCAAACATTTTATGAAAACGTGCTGCATTTTCTCACAAGACAATAGAAATGTTTCAATGAGACCCTGAAACGTGATAACCCGGCTATTTAAGCTATTTAAATTAAGATTATTAAGGCTTAAAATATTAAAGACACAGGAATCAAGAAAATAAAACAAACAAACACAATCTCACCTTTTAAAGATCACCTGCAACTTCACTGAGCAATAGTCATGGCACAGCGGTATCTGTCATGTTTTTGGGTCTCCTTAAAACATTTCCGCTGTGTTCTGTTCTTTTTGTGTTGTGAGAAAATGTTTTTCGTGAATCGTTTGCATTGTGATAAAATGCAGCATGTTTTATTAATTGTTTTCCTTGTGTGAAAATTAAGCACGTTTTTGTAAATTGTTTGCATTGAAAGAAAATGCAGTGCATTTTATTATTGTTTGCATTGCGTGAAAATGCAGCCTGTTTTCGTGAATTGTTGCATTGTGCGAAAATGCAGCGCGTTTTCATAAATTGTTTGCGTTGTGAGAAAATGCAGTGTGTTTTATTAATTGTTTGCATTTTGTAAAATGTGTTTGCCTTGTGACGATTTGCAGCATGTGTGCTGTCAAACTGATGCAGATATCTTTTCAATTTGCTGGCGTTTCTCAATTTTTGGCTCACACTTGCATTGAATAATACTCTTACACAACTCTAATAAATAGTAATAAGCAATTTAAATAAAATATAACAATGATAGCCTATGAATAAAAGGTCGATCAAGTGGTTACGATGCCTGTTTGCGGCACGTTAAGCTCTCTCAGCCACGGTAAAAATACAATAATGGCTAATACTGGGAGGTAGGATTTACTCTAAATTACTTGACGTGACTCTTCTGTTCAAAGGCAGTTGTCCATCTAGAGGGATTTTCATCTTGGCCATTCAAAGTTATGCCAATGATCACACGAAGCTCATTTTGTGAAAAACATATGCAAGAAAAGGAACGCTCTTCTCACTATTAAATATATATAAATGTCTCAGGCTTGATTCAAACCCTTAGAGAGAGATAGCTGCGGTCGTTATTTTGCAAGGATGTTTTTCTTTCCCAGTTTTTTTCCCAACTGTTTGGTATTACCTTACATAAATTTGGCACTGTATTCTTGTAAATTGTTCACTACCCTTTTCAATATTAACAATATGGTCAACGATACAGAACAGATGATAAAGGCAAAAGATGAAAAGCACAATAATTATAATAATATTTCAATGGTCAAAAAATTACAACATCTCACAAAGAGGCAGTTTTATCACTTCAATGATAAGACAACACAGTTAAATGACAAGGACACCTAATAATGTAATGTGAACATGTCGGTGGGGAACAAGCTACCATCTAGTGCTTTAGTGCAACTAATCTCATGTCGTTTAACCCTAAATTACAAACACTGGGAAGTTAAAATGTCAAAGGTTTGACATGGAACCTAATAGTTATTGTGGAGTTTTAGATAATTCAAGACATTTAGTATTAATAATGTTGTTTTGAAATATAGGTTGTGACATGTCTACACAAAGACTTATCTACCATTTTCCCCAATTATTTTATCCTGAAATTCTAAATCTGATAGCAAATTTAGCTATACAACAAAACCCCAGATGTTTTTAATAAATAGTATGTTGTTCCATCACAACTTCCAAAAGAAAACTAAAGTAAAACACAGCAACTGCACAGAGAGCGGAACTTGTAGGTTTTAAAAATAGGTAGAAGAAAGTAATATTAATTTAGATCATCATCAAACATCCCAATAGGCAGCACTGCGTTATAATTGATGCACTTACAAATATAATCAATCTTTAATCTAATAGCACCCAATTTCACAGTGGATTACCTAGTGCAGAGAAAATATTGGCTTTTGAAGTCAACACGTAGCTAAATGGAGAGCTTTAATAACAGACTTTGACATTTCATTAAAGACTTGGTGCGTCAAACAATGTGAGGTATGAGCCTTAATTGCCATTTATTTAACACTGGGCATGGAAGAAACGTCTCTACACCATTGGTATAGGACATAAAAACAAAGATTTCAACGTCTTTAAAATGACCAGAGCAAACCTGTTCCAGATCATAGCCAATGCCAAACAAAATTTTAGACCTGTAGTTGCCATGAAGTACGAGGAGATGAAGGGAGCCACATGCTACACTGGACTGTGATCTGGCGATGTGTGAGTCATAGTCACTGTACTGCACTCAGGTGTTTCCCTGGTCCTGCGAAGATCCGAGTATAGGCGCTCTTCAAGAGTAGCTGCTAGCTTGTCGCTGAGCTCTTCTGTGATTGTCTGTGGTCCGTAGCTTGTACATTCGGGGGTAGGTTCATCAGGAGGTGGCAACACTTGCCTAGAGTTCTCCCGACCCACAGATTGCTCTCCAGCAATGTCAGTCATTGGCAGGGGCTTTGATGCCTCAAGGAATTCCTTCTTATGGATGATTCCGCTGCTTTCGCTGCTGGAAGATATTCTTGTCTTGTCTGGATCCACATCGGTAGTGGCATCCTGGTCTCCCTTGGGAATCTCTGGAGTACTAGTTGCACCTTCACTGCTCTCTTCATCAGGTGCACTAATGATTCGTGGGAGCGTGCTCTGGTAGCTAGTTTCTAGAGGATAGTTGACAGTTTCACCACGTCGGAGTGGAGTGCGATACCGGTCAAAAGAGGTTTGGAAGCGCTGGCCGGGGTCACTGTACTGCTTGGAACGCTGCCACTGCTTCCGCAGGTGCACACGAGAACGATGCTTGGAGCGTAGCGGAGACTCCTGCTGATCAAACTGTGGGTCATGCCTTAAGAACTCATGGAAAAGTGCTTCAGTTTTCTCATCAATGCTGTAGTCACGGCGGGAAAGAACTGGGGGATGAGGTTGAGCATCGCGTTGAGTGAACATTTGGCCATACGGGGACCAAAGCATAGTGCTCTCGCTTGTTTCCACTCCATCCACTCCACCACTGGCACCCGTGGGCTCCTCTTCAAGTTCTTCATCTAAGATGTCTGTGTCGAAGCTCTCACACACGGTCCCTTTATGGCCAGAACTGAAGAAGTGCCTGCGCTCCATGGCGGAGCCATCCTTGCTGCTGCTGCTGCTGCTTCCAAACAGTCTCAGCTCTTCGGGAGCACGTGAAGGTGCTTCAATTGAGGCGTAACCACTGTCCATTTGTAGAAGCTTGCGGTTTCCTGGCTCCCCATCACTTCCTCTTTCAGAATCAACACTATCCTGTTTACGACCTTTCTCAGAACTCTCTTCTAAAGGCAAGTCTGCATCTCCCTCCATTTCATCACCAATATCCTGCGAAGGGTACCTAGGAAGCCCTCCCATTTCGTACTTACCCCCGAGAGAACACACGCTCTCTGCGTCACTACGGACTGAGTCTCTGTCATTGTTGCTGCTCTGGTCGGATGAGACATAACGCTCAAGAGAGGCGCGAAGAGTCCATATATCACGGTATAAGGTCTGAGGTTCTAAGCTTTCTTGATGAAAACCCATTCCAAGACTTTCATCTGGGGGCTCGGAGGTAAGGCCGATCACCCCAGGACCCAACGCTCTGCTGCAACTGGGCTCCACCATCACCTCCACCTCTAACCTGAAGAACAGCACACATATATAATTAGACAAGCTGGTATTCCTAAATACATTTAGCATTGCTTTAGCCACAATGTAGCATATCATCATGTTTTATGTCAGTATGGGGTTATCAAATAAATTGCTTTTCATGTCCGTTAAAGCTCTGAGTCCAAGTTTTATGTATTTTATATAACATTAGAAGAAAATTGCATGATTTTTTTATTCTAACTAAAAAGCAATTTTCTCAAAAATGCAAAAACCTCAAAAGCTCAAGCATCTCACAAAAAGCATGATCATAGTAGCACTATGAATATATACATAGTGAAAATAAAATATCAACAATTCTAAATACCTCAGAAACTAAAGTTATCTACACAACCTAACTGCCATACTAGAATTCAGAAGTGGCAGAACATTCATGCAATGTTTATTCTATAGAGAGTTCACTACATTTGAACGGCAGTGCATGCCAATTATTTTATGTTTGTTAATTTCTTCTTTTCTGTTAAATCTTTGAGCCCAGATTCAGAGATGTTCAAGCAGATGCCTCCATGGCTGCACAGATGGTTGTGACTCACTCTGTGATGGTTAATTTGAGAAGACCACTACACAGTTACAGATACAGGAAAGCCAGCTGTAATAAGTAAGCAAATATAAACAAATAAACTAATATTCAAAAACATGTATTGACCTTTCTGGATCATTTTACACAACTAATGCAAATAAACGGTGAAAATACTAATAGGTATGCCTGTGCTTTTTCAGACATTCAGGGAAGAAACTTTCATATTCTGAAGCAAAGCTGCTTGCACTGTAACCTGATGATGCCATGATAAGGCAATGCGATCAGCACATTGAGGTCAGTCCAGCATGGAATGGGGTCTATTGTATGAGGCATGGTGAGGCAGATGGTTGCAATAGCAAATGCATGGGTGAGGCAATTAAAGATACCTGCCGAGGGGGGGTGGGGGTGTGGAAGGGGGGGATAGAAGACGTGGACTGGCTCGGGCCGGGCAGTATGTAATATCCTTAGTGCGAGCGATGTACTGGATGAGGTCAATGTGATGGGCGTCATGCTCTTCCTGGTCCATACTCTCGCTGGCTGCGCGCTGCCGCTGGAACTGCCTCCGTTTGGGAGAGCCTGTAGGGACAACATCAATTTTGCATCAATAGTCTCACAAAGCAATTTTCATTTGTATTTCTTCAGCTTAGTCTATGATTTATCAGAGGTAAATCATAGACGAGGTTTCGAAAACGCTGGAGAGGTAGTTTTTATTATAAAACGCTGCTGGTCCGTCTCAGTGTGGATGATGGAAAACGGAGACATCTGAAAACGGAGGCAGGGCTGCAGACATTCGCCTATCTGATTGGGGCTTTTCCTCAATATTAAGTAGCCTAACACACACAGTTCAGTCCTGCATCCTCTCCTTGTAAGTTCAGACTTCACAAGTTTGATCAAGGCTGCAGTCTCTTCTTCTCAGTTTGATTTGGAAAACAGACTATACCGAGGACACGGGTAAATCTTCAAAGGGAACAGTGTACTTTATAACTTACTTTATAACTTTATAACTACGTTGTTTCACTTTCTCAACAATAAAATGTAAACATGATTTAAGGAACTGCCTATTTTCATTTTAATATTAGCAACAGACAGCAGACATGTTGAGACGTCAGGCTGCATATATGAGCGTCATCTTCACTGTGTGGATATTAATAACAAAACGGAGCCTATAACAACTGCCTCCTTTCAATTTCAGTGAAAATACGAAACATACCCTTCTTTGCTGAATATCAGTTTTAATAATCGATAATGGCCATTATAAAAGTATAACATACAATACGTTTATACATTATAGGAAATAAAGGCAAGCGATCGGTCAATATACAGAATGTAGGCTACGTGGTTACATTAATCATTAACTTATCTTTGCGCTCAGCCAAAACAAGTTACCTGAGAACAAGTAATAGATTCCAATGACCAAAGTCAGAGAATATGTCGTTAGATAAAGACAACAAGATGAATGAAATATCCCGTTTAATAAATATAGTGAGATTAGATCCAGCGGGAGATGCTTGATGAGAAGTCCAACTAGCAGAGCTCTCATCTGGGTAGATGGGCTGCAGCGCTTGCCCGAGAGTGTGTGTGTGGTCACGTGATGTGCGTAAAACGCAAGTGTTAAAACTAAAACGCACTAGTGTAAACGGGGCCTTAGATTGGTTCGGTCCACTTCGTGCTTTCACTTATCTCACCTACTCACACACACGCACACGTCGGGTGTGTGACTGCGGCTGAGTTACTGTTGATTTTAAATAAGTAAGTAGGGTTTTTTTTAACCCACCTTAAAGCGATTTTCCTCAATGTAGTTAATACAGACTCTTGCATGAATTAGTTGTGGCAAAAAATGCTGATTAAGGATGTAATTGTCCATGAATCTGCTGTATTAGCGATAAAAATTACTTATATAGCTAGCGTTAGCTTGCTGCTAACGCTAAAGCCGTTTCCCATGCATTGTTTCATTTGTGACGACTTGGCATAATGTTAACTTAACATTAACAACCACAATTTGCATATTATTAGTTGTGTATTTGCCAAATGAGCACTGCTACACTGTGCACACTAACCCCACTGTATTTTTTTGTATAATCAGTTTCTATTCTGTTTTAAGTGACTCAAATAATTTGAAATTAAAATGTTAACCTTTTTTAATTGTTTGTTTTTATTGTTGTGATTATTTTATGATAGTTTTGCATTCTTTATGTAAAGCACTTTGAATTGCCATTGTGTATAAAATGTGCTACAGCATAAATAAACTTGCCTGGCTGTGTCATGTATTGGATAAAATGACAGTGAAAATAGACATAATAATTTTTCAGTGCAGCTAAACGCCAAGTACAAAAACTTTACATATTAAGCAATTTGGCTTTCAGAATGAGTGCTTATGAAAATACTAATGTCACATTATTAATCACAGGCAAAGGAGAAAGAACTGATTGAGGAACAGGCAGAGCAGGGTCAGTCAGATGTACAGTGTCAGGTAAGGGTGTTGTGCTTTATTGTGCTGTATTGGGAGTTGTGACTGTTTACCAGATTTCACACGCTCACTGATTTACAATATGATTGGTTATTTTACGTTTTAAAGTTAGTTATTATGATGGAAAATGTCTTTTCCTGCATTTATTCTGCTTCAGGAGTCAGTCAGTTGACTGTAAACAACACAACAAACAATGCAATAAATAGTTTTGAAGAAAAATTTGCTGTCATTGAACCTGAGAAAAACTTTGACAATAATCATAATGATGAAGTCTCCATGCTATATTAATAATTATAATGAAACCATTTTTAACTGCGGGGACATATCTTTATTAGTAAAATTCGGCTGTATTATTTGTGTCCCCTTCAAAAAAATGCTCGAAAGAAATTTTATATTTATTGTCCCCCCCTACTGTTAAATCAGATTCACGCCCATGCTTATTATTGCAAATACTTCAGTAATTTTCACTTTTCTGCACTAAAGTTTAACTACTTTAGTGCATGTGATTATTGCATTGCATTTATCATTGTTTTAGCAAACCCCATTTTGCCTACCTCCACTTTAGTATATACTAAGTGTGTTAAGTTTTAATTCATTCTTAATCAACATATTAACAATACAATATGTTTCTCATTAGTTAATATGCGCTACAAACAATGGAAATCCATTAGATGGAGAGTGTGGCTTTCATCATGACCGCATTGTTTCACAAAATAAAACACAGAGTTTTTAGGACGCTCTTTTCAAAAAAATTGGAATGGAACAATCTTGCATCAACCGGCCATCTGTTTAAAAGCGAGTCTTGGCACAGAAATACAGCTCCGTCTTGGCTCAGAGAATATATTCTATAGTCTGCTCAACACACACACACACACACACACACACACATACACGCACTCACACACAAGCCAAACTGTTTCTGACTCTGCTACATGAAGGCACTAAACCTCTATTAAGGTCTTCAATCATTTTCCAAGGTAATACACAATACAAGAGCTAAATGAAAAGCAAAGAAACATTCAATATTGCTTTGCATCCCCTAAGGCAAGGAAACTGATCGCTTCACAGGTTCATAACACTGTCTGTACTTTCCACGGCAGCATTATCTCGCTTCACACTAACAGACCTAAGAGATAAATCAAAAGATATTTACAGTAACTTACATAATCACACAGTTAATCTCTTCATTATAAATTCATTAAGTCCCGTCATTATGCACTTCTCGCACATTTATATTATGAGGCAGAATAATATCATACTTAAGCTTAAAGAAAGCTTTTCTTTGCCATGTTGATGACGGAAAACGAGATCAGCCAAATTCGCGGTGCCTCAGTATGTTGAAGCACATTTGCCAAGCACTAAGCTATGACAGCAATGTGAAAAAAAAGATATATTCTCCATGGATGCATGAAATACTTTGAAAGTTACAGTAAATGTGCACCTAATGATTTTTCTTTCAAGTAAATGCTGTTCAGGTGGAACTTTATATTCGTCCTTAGAAATAAATTCATCAACATTTATGTACATTAAACTATTAATCAGTAATTCCACTAATATATAATCAGCATTTTTCAACATTGATAAGAATAATAAGAAATGTTTCTAAAGCATTAAATTAGCATATTAGAAAAATTTCTAAGCGATCATTTGACAATGATGCTGAAAATTCAGCTCACCACCACAGTGGGGATATGCACATCAATGCTCGAGTATCGATATCAATACTCAGAAGCTTTTAATTTGATATTAATATTTGTTTAAAAGTATCTAAGTAACTATAACTAAGTAACTATATTTTTATAATTTCTGCATAACTAAATGTTTTAGCGCTGTGTACAGGATTGTCAGTGACACTTTGTATATAATCTGCGGCGGAATGTGATGTGAGCGTTCATGTGCACAGTAAATAGTAAATATAGGTATAAATAAATAAAATAAAATAAATAAATAATAGTATAGTATTATAAAATATTGTAAAATAATGATAACAATAAGAATAATAATCAAATAAAAATACAAGTAAAAATAAATAAATAAATAAAATAATAAGGGTGATGCAGTGGGTAGCACGTTCGCCTCACAGCAAGAAGGTCGCTAGTTCAAACCTCGGCTTGGTCAGTTGGTGTTTCTGTGTGGAGTTTGCATGTTCTCCCCATGCTTGCGTGGGTTTCCTCCGGGTGTTCCAAAGACTGTGGTACAGGTGAATTAGGTATGCTGAAATTGACCATATTGTATAAGTGTGTGTGTGAATGAGTGTGTATGGGTGTTTCCCAGTGATGTGTGGTGGCTGGAAGGGCATCCGCTGCGTGAAAACATATGCTGGTCAAGTTGGCGGTTCATTCCGCTGTGAGGACCCCAGATTATGAAAAGAAAATGAATGAATGAATAAAATAATAAATTTGATTAGTCAGCTCTCTCTCGTTACTATTAGGTGAGTAAGATTGAATATAAAAGTGTGTGTGTCTTTACATGTAATGATCTTTTTTTTTTAATTAACATTTAAAAAAAAACCATCACATTAACATTTGTAATAATTAGTGGTATCCTTATCGTAAAAATCTTATTAAAAATATCAGTATCGTATTATAAAATGGTGGTATCGTCCATCCCTACACCACAGGAAATAAATTAAATAATAAAATGATTTTACACTCTTATTATTTATTGCATTATTTTTAAATAATTGTGTTTTCTTAATTTTATTCCACCATTTATGAACATAATATACTATACAAATATATTAATGATCATGCCTAAGGATTTTATTAATGTATTTATAACATTTCATAACTTTTTTCTGGCTTACCGATTTTTTAGCGTCGCACTTCGACTCAGTTTGGTTGTTGTTGGCTATCTCCGAGATACCCCCGTCAGGCAGTATCAATACAGATGGCTATGGATTATGTCCTGATTTAACGTTTTTTGGTGTTCTTTTAAAGTGAATATAAGATCTTTAAATACGTTCTGGTTATTTTTCAGGGTTTTTTCGTTAATATTTAGCAGCAAGCTCCGATTGTGGATTGCTTCAGCTGCATGTCATAACATTTTATACATTTTCATAATTACTTTTGCGAAATAAACATGCATATTTTGTAAGATCATTGAGTCTAATAAACAATCATAATACAAAAAGTAAAATACAATAAGAACAAGTAAAAAATATCAGCTAGTTTATTCAAGATTATTTTATTTAATATTCATTAATCCAATTTCTGTCAATAAGCTTTCACTTCAATTGAAAATAATGTATATATATATATATATATATATATATATATATATATATATATATATATATATATATATATATATATATATATATATATATATATATATACACACACACACACATATTTTTCTACTACATATAAATAATGCAATTATTGTAAAATATGTAGTTGTTTTTATATTATAAAAAACCCCACTTATCTATGCAACAAATTCAGCACAAGCGATATAAGATTCGCTTTCATTAGCACCGTCTTTTCATTCCTGATGAAATTAACACCCCACATTCACAGCGGATGGTTTCTTTAATGCGTTGCCAATTCCTGGATGTGTGACTGACCTCTCATGTCGAGACTTGAAGCTCTCTGGCTGCTGTCAAACTTCCACTTCTTGATCTTGAAGTATGGACTTGCTCCCTCCAGACTGGCGTGACGGCGGAGCTTAGTGAAGAACTGCAGCATTGGACCCTGTGAGACCCCGCCAGATGAGGACAGAGCCGTGGCTGAGGCCGACGCAGCCTCTCTACCATTACCCATGATGTCTGCGCCCCTGCCGACTCCCCCTCTGACCTCCAACTGTTTTGTTCACAAGATCACATTATTAAAACACATTATTATTAGAGATTGGCTGTTGCATAATTAATTGGTTTTTGCACTTCAGAATGTAAACAACTATAGCCGCCATATTGAAGTGTCATTCTAAAGCAAAGTGCTCACTTTGAAGGGGCTTTTGGAATGGAGGATTTCAAGGAGTATAACTTATTGGCTGTGTCCGAAATGGCCTACTACTCAGTAGATACTGCATTTGAATTTAATCGCACTACTCTGCCGTTTTATACAGTATGAATGTAAGCAGTATGAAAGGAACTCAGACGTACTACTTCCACCATTTTGTAATGATCACATGACCTACCCACATGAGTTGTGTTGCTTCACTCCCATCTTGTGGGGCATCATTGGATAGCGCAGCATATGGGATGCACACTTCAGAATATTGCCGAAAGTAGTAGGTCATCCGGGTACTTCTCGCATACTTTTCTTGAATTCTATGAATTCGGTCACACTACTCGGCTCGCACACTGTTTTTAGCCTACTATATAGTATGGAAGTAGGGTTGGGCGATGTCGGCCAATTTGGCATCGTACGATGTCTAATGTGAAACATCGCGATGAACAATTTATTAATAATGAATTAATTCACAACTAATTAATTATTTTTAGCCTACCTTTTCAACCAAATCAAAAATAAAGATAAGTTACCACCTGTTACTTTTTTCCACGGGATCCTGGCATGAATCAGCAAGTGATCTGTGTCATCATAATGGTGTCGACAAACCATTATATATATGTATTTTTCACGAGCAGATTGCTGATGCGAAGGCGGAGACGGAGGATTGCGATGCCGGCTCAGCATTGTGATGTCTATTGGTCATCAGCGATGGACAATGGCATCGTCTTTCGACTCAACCCTACTTGGAAGTATGCGATTTTAGACTCAGTGATAGACACTTCACGACCCTATGATGCTTTGCGTGGGGGAAGATGTTTGGTGTCACACACTACGTTCCATTTGGAAGGGTTCATCCCAATGCCCTAAACCAGGCGTGCTCAACCCTGTTCCTGGAGATCTACCTTCCTGCAGAATTCAGCTGCAACCTTGATCAAGCACACCTGTCTTTAATTACAAAGTGCTCATTCAGATCCTACTTAGTTGGTTTAGTTGTGTTAGATCAGGGTTGGAGCTGGACTCAGCAGGAAGGTAGATCTCCAGAAACAGGGTTTAGCACCCCTGCCCTAAACCCTTCGAATCTGGAGAATAAACTCTTCGGAGAGATTAGGGTATAAGGATGAGCCTCTATGAATGAATCAAGGAATATTTGTCACATCTGACCTCTAATAGACATTGAAAATGAATCTGTCATCACTAACTATGTTTTCTAAGATCATGGCACAACCTTAAAATGTAAAACAAACAACATTTAAAAACCCAAAGAAATAAGATAACCTTTCACAAGTGAGAATATGTTGGTTTGTGTTTTTATATTCATTACATTTTATAGCCCAATTAGTCATGTTGCTAGCATTAATGAATTATGACATGTTATTATCATGTTTTTAGCAGGATTTTGCCATGTTGCTAGCATGAATTAGCACATTATCATGTTTTTAGCAGGATTTTGCCATGTTACTAGCATGAATTAGCATGTTATTATGTTTTTAGCATGTGTTGTCATGTTGCTAGCATGAATTAGCATGTTATCATGTTTTCTAGCATGTGTTGTCATGTTGCTATCATGAATTAGCATGTTATCATGTTTTTAGCATGTGTTGTCATGTTGCTAGCATGAATTAGCATGTTATCATGTTTTTAACATGTGTTGTCATGTTGCTATCATGAATTAGCATGTTATCATGTTTTTAGCATGTGTTGTCATGTTGCTGGCATGAATTAGCATGTTATCATGTTTTTAGCATGTGTTGTCATGTTGCTATCATGAATTAGCATGTTATCATGTTTTTTAGCATGTGTTGTCATGTTGCTATCATGAATTAGCATGTTATCATGTTTTTTAGCATGTGTTGTCATGTTGCTAGCATGAATTAGCATGTTATCATGTTTTTTAGCATGTGTTGTCATGTTGCTTGCATGAATTAGCATGTTATCATGTTTTTTAGCATGTGTTGTCATGTTGCTAGCATGAATTAGCATGTTATCATGTTTTTTAGCATGTGTTTTCATGTTGCTTGCATGAGTTAGCATGTTATCATGTTTTTTAGCATGTGTTGTCATGTTGCTATCATGAATTAGCATGTTATCATGTTTTTTCGCATGTGTTTTCATGTTGCTTGCATGAATTAGCATGTTATCATGTTTTTAGCATGTGTTGTCATGTTGCTTGCATGAATTAGCATGTTATCATGTTTTATAGCATGTGTTGTCATGTTGCTAGCATGAATTAGCATGTTATCATGTTTTTAGCATGTGTTGTCATGTTGCTTGCATGAATTAGCATGTTATCATGTTTTTTAGCATGTGTTGTCATGTTGCTAGCATGAATTAGCATGTTATCATGTTTTTTAGCATGTGTTTTCATGTTGCTTGCATGAATTAGCATGTTATCATGTTTTTAGCATGTGTTGTCATGTTGCTTGCATGAATTAGCATGTTATCATGTTTTATAGCATGTGTTGTCATGTTGCTAGCATAACTAGATTTTTTTTTTTGTACTATTGATGCCGATGACTACCAGTTTTAATATTTTATGTTCAACACAAAATAAAAAGGGATGTAGAGTGTGATGAAGGATCTCTGCATGAAATATGAACACAAGTAGTTACAACAGATGCTTTTGAATCCTTGTTAATACCAGGTGAAAACTGCTTTTTATGTTATCACACATGAACAAAAAAACCCACACATGCCAGGGCTTCAGTAATCGTGACTCACCAGACATGGGCTTGAGGGCTCAGCGCCGGCTTTTGTGATGCTTTCACAGAATGTTGTGTCCACAGTGGAATTGAGAGTGTCTCCAGGAAGGGCAGAGCTGGGACTGAGAGTCCGGCTGGTCAGGGCAGTCTGGGGCAGTGAACATACTGGTGGCTAGTGACAAAAACAACCTGTTTAATATTTTGCCAGTAGTGAGAAACAAAACCTAAACAAACATAATTAGGCAGCTTGATTCAAATTCAGAAATGTTTATTAAAATCTTCAGACTGAGCAGCATTTAAAGACATTTGTAGCATGTCCTAAAAACATGTGATTTTACATGTTTTTAAATCAGACAGCCAGTAAAATTACACTGTTAAATTTTATTGTAGCACATGAAGTATCCATTCCTTGTGTTCTTCATTACCTAGAAAATGAAGGATGCATTTTGAGTACACAATTAATGGGTCTTCAAACTTTAACATGAATTAGCATGTTGCTAACATAAATTATGATGTTGTTAACACAAATTAGCATGTTGTTATCTTGTTTCTAGCACAATTTGTCATGTTGCTAGCATAAATTAGCATGCTATCGTGTTTTTAGAATGATGTCATGTTGCTAGCATGAATTAGCATGTTATCATGCTTTAACGTGTTTTCATGTCGCTAGCATAAATTAGCATGTTATCATGTTTTAACATGATTTGTTATGTTGCTAGCAATAACTATCATGTTATCAAATTTTAAGCATGATTTATCATGTTGCTAGCATGAATTAGCATGCTTTCATGTTTGTAGCATGTGTTGTCATGTTGCTAGCATAAATTAGAATGTTATCATGTTTTAGCACGATTTGTCATGTTGTTAGCCTGTTTCTAACATGTATTATGATGTTGCTTCCACAAATGAGCATGTGGTTATCATGTTTTAGCACAGTTTTTCATGTCGATAGCTTGAATTAGCATGTTATCATGTTTTAGCATGATTTGTCATGTTGCTGGCAAGAACTATCATGTTATCATATTTTAAGCATGATTTGTCATGTTGCTAGCATAAATTAGCATATCATGTTTTAGGATGATTTGTCACGTTATCCTGAATTAGCATGTTCACGTGTTTTTAACATAATTTTTCATGCTGCTAACATGAATTAGCATGTTATCGTGTTTTTAGCATGATTTGTCATGTTGGTAGCAAAAACTATCATGTTATCATGTTTTAGCATAATTCCTCTCATTGTTAGCATGAAATAGCATGTTTTATGTTTTTAGCATGATTTGTCATACTGCTAACATAAATTAACATGTTATCGTGTTTTAGAAGGATTTGTCATGTTCCTAGCATGAATTAGCATGTTATTATGTTTTTAGCATGATTTGTCATGTTGCTAGCAAAAACTATCATGTTATCATATTTTAAGCATGATTTGTCATGTTGCTAGGATAAATTTGCATATGTTTTAGGATGATTTGTCATGTTAGCCTGAATTAGCATGTTCTCGTGTTTTTAACATGATTTGTCATGTTGCTAACATGAATTAACATGTTATCTCATTTTTAGGATTAATTGTCATGTTGCTAGCAAGAACTATCATGTTATCATGTTTTAGCATAATTTGTCTCGTCGTTAGCATGAAATAGCATGTTATCATGTTTTAGCATGATTTGTCATGTTGCTAGCATGAATTAGCACATCATCATGTTTTCTAACATGATTTGTCATGTTGCTAGCATAAATTAGATATTTGTTGTACTATTGATACCGATGGCTATCACTTTCCAATATTTTGTGTTCAACAGAAGAAAGATGCTTCAATTGGTTTGGGAAACTTATGAAGGTGAGTAAATGGTGAACTATGTCAATGTCAATGTCAGTTTTATTTATATAGCTCAATTGTACACAACCAAAGGTTGACCAATGTGCTAAACAATACAAATCACAAACAACAAGTTTAAAATTATAGCTAAAACAAACAAATCTCACAGATAGTTATAATGGCTAAAATAAACAAATCTCACTGATAGTTAATATTGCTAAAAACAAACAATTCTCACTGATAAAATGCCAAATCAAAAAGGTAAGTTTTCAACCTAGATTTAAAATCAGACAGAGATGGTATAGACCTAATAAAGAGGGGGCAGAGCATTCCAAAAGGTAGGACCAGCTACTGCGAAAGCTTGGCCACCCCTGAATTTTAGCTTCGACTTTGGGATGTATATTAATCTCTGGTTAGATGACCGAAGAGATCGACCAGGCTGATGTTCAGTCAACAGGTCTGACAGGTAGTAACTATCTATCCTTCTAGAAGGATCTATAAACACACACTCTGTTTTATTGTCCTGTTAGCAGAGCAAGCGTATGTCACCTGAAAGATGGACAGGCTGGATTTGGCGACGGGACGCGTCATCATGGCGAGGCTGTTCTCTGAAGACTCACACTCATGGATGGTGAGGATCTGGAGGGCGGGTGGAGGGAGGTGGAGGTGTGTGAGACGCGCATTCTTCAGGTGGTGGAAGTCGCCCTCAGTTAGTGTGTACCTGAGGTGAGGCAGTAAAAAAACACACAGGCTGTCAACACCTCATTATAGATTACATCACAATCCTATCATCCAGCAATGTTTGTTAAAAATGTTGGGTAGATAGTTGGAGATCAGCAGTTTAAGCACACTGCTAAAAGTGTGTTGGGTAACACTTTACTTGAAGTGGGTGTACATAATTTGACGCAGTTATGTCCTTTTAAATGCAAAGACAACATTGTTTGAGATGTCTTTAATGACATAAACAAATACATCACAACCTGTCTTTTTCAGAACATTTCCATGACATAACTTGTCACAAATATGTTATAAACATAAGTGTCATGAGGCCATTGTAGTTGTATCATGAACATTTTTCTTATCACTTTTTTTCATAATGGAACAAAATTAATTTGTCAAGAAAATCTCTGTCAATACTCAATGTCAAATGTCAATGTCAAATAATTTTACTAAAGCATCATTAATATTTAATGACATTTAAATGACAAATATAATGTGTAAAATATTAATTCATGAAACAATTACAATGGACACATGACAGATCATGTTTTTGACAGATTTATGACAAGGCATGTTATCGTGCTAATGTCAAGTTGTCATGACTAAGGCATCTTAAACAATATCATCTTCGCATTTAAAATGACATAACTGAAAGAATGACACTTGCATAAAATCCGTTCATATTCATAAAATGTTTCATGTCATGATTATAAAGGTGTCGTGACAGTCTCATGAACACTACCTTTAAGTTAAGTGTTATCAATTTTTGCACAATTCATCTTATATAAATAACTACATCAATATTTATATACAAATACCTAAAAAGGAAAAAATATGAATAGTTTTATAGTTTAGTATACATCATATAACGTGTATTTTATAGTATAAGTATTGATAAAGTACATTTCAACCAAATGTTTAAAATACTGTTTTAGATTAACCCTTGTGCACTGTTCAAGTTAACTACCCTTTCGTTATGTTTGGAATAAAAACATCCACTGAATTAAACTTCTTTAAAAATGCATCAGATAAATTTTTTTCACAATTTGTTTTGCATAAATCTGTTAATCAACCTCAGTCCTGATCAAAGCTAATAAATTATTTAGAAAATGACCTAATTTTAACTCTTTGATTGCCAAATTCACAAAAGATGTCACTGGTTTAGTAAAAAAAAAAAACACAAAGGGTCATATTTTTTAATATAAAAAGTAATTGTGGGCCGCATTTTAAACCTTCTATCACAGTCTTGGACATGTGAACGATTGGTAACAACACTTGCTTAGATGCATTGTTAGATTTTCATTTTTTTTCTCCCTAGTTTACTATTGGTGGCTGTTTTGCCCCTTTGACTTACATTATAACCACATTTGATGGTTTATAAATACACAGTCTTTGTTTTTGTTCACTCCATGTAGTTCTGAGAGCTGAGATTATTTTCTCAGACACATCAAGGTAAGTGCACAAAGGTCACTCTCACACACTCACAGACACAAATACACACACTTTAAATTGGTTACACTCCATATAAAATCCAGAAACTAAGCTTTTTGCACAGACCTATCTAAAGGGTTAATGGTGCCAACTGTAAACAGTAAAATTACTAATTTTTACCTTTTTCAAACAGGGAAAAGCTCCAACAATCAAAAATGTATGATTATATGGTGTCATGATTTAGAAATAAATAAAAAATAGGTTATAATAGAAGGCAATGGGGCAAAAACAGCCACCAATAAGTAAATTATGGAGAAAAAATGTAAATCTAACAATGCACCAAAGGCAATGTGGTTTCAAGGTAAAACTGATTACACCAAATCAGTGACATCATTTATGAATTCGCCAATTAAAGAGTTAAAATCATGCAATTTTCGAAACAATATATTTGTTTTGGTCAGGAATGAAGTTGATTAACAGATTTTTGTAAAAAAAAATTTAAAAAAGTTAAATATTTATCTGATGCATTTTTACAGCAGTTTAATTCAGTGGATGTTTTTATCCAAAAGGGTGGTAAATTTGCCCAAAGCATTTTGTCAAAATATGTGTCAAATTTACATTTGTCATCAAAAATCCTTCTTCTAGTTGAAACACAGAAAAAAGTTATGGCTAAAGACCTAAAATCACCCCAGAGTGGATGGAAACATCCCTAACAGCACACGAGGGTTAAATAGATCTCAAATATATAATATACAAAGATCTCTGATATATAATAATATAACGAATATTTAAGGAATATTTTACAAACTATACACATTACCAACAGTCAGAAATGTTGCATAGAGTTGTTAATATAGTTAAATAACGAATTACAGTTAAATTCAAAAGAATTAAACTTAATTAATTCATGCTTTTTTATAAAAAATGTTTTATGTATAAAAACGTTAGATGAATATTTAAATGACTTTCCTTACTTCAAAAAGTAAAACGATGATTAATCTTTGCCTACGCTCTGCCGAATTTGTCCCCAAAATCCTAATGTTGACAAACAACCGAAAACCAGTATTATTCATCACCAGCTCAAGCGTCTGACAAGCTCAGATGTAAATGTACAGCACACACATAAATATGTGCTGGAAGCAGCAGTCTGCCAACAGAGCTCTGTCTGTATATATGTACGTGTGTATGGACTGTGGGCGGCGTGACTGAGTGGGCGGCTGACCTTCGCCCTTTCTCCTGTGTTTTCTTGCTGTGATCGAAGAGTGCGGCTTCGTTGAAGGAGACCCGGCGGCCGGTTGTGCCCGTTGAGAGGAAACGCTCCGTCTCCATGTCGTGGGAGCTGGCAGCCGACAGGCAATCTGACTCATCCACACGAATCGTAATCTCTGCGTGTCGAGAGACAGATTAGACCACAGAACGCGTTTGTTTATCGCCCTCGCCTGACTGTCTAAATGTCACCTAAACTTGACCTTGATGCTTTACCTCAAGCTTGAATGTAAATACGCATGGAAAAGCATTATGTCTTTTCTTATCTGCTATTTTCCTATGCCCCATTGTGCTCTGCATGAATTATGGGTGTAATGTGTGTTAAACTGTAAAAAATCTGTAAAGTTTTTTTCAAAGAAATGGCTAAATGTGTACATTTCATCTATCGAATATTTAAAGAAAACTTGTTAGATATTAAGATTTACTTTCAGCAGATCATGAATGAACAAATAAGCTAACTTAATTCCTTCATGTAGTCCTAACACAAATCAGTTGTGTAAACCCCAGCATTTTATACAGTGTAAAGTAAATCCAGGCAGCTCTTGACTGCATTACAGTGGTATATCACTACACAGAGCATTATCAGTTATTTCAAATAACCTCACATCCTGCTAAAGCCAAAAATCAAAAAATAAAAACTTTGCAGTGATATAAGGACAAAAACCCGACAAATGTGGGTGCCGCAGTAAAAGGACAGTAAAAATTGATGACAGGCCATTGATATATTAGAAAAGAATGCACACCCAAAGTTTAAAAGCATCACTACCTTGTTTATACATCATTTTTTTAACAAATCAACAACCTGTCGCCAATTATTAGTTAAATAATCCACTTGTTAAGTTGATGACGAGAATCAGGGAGAATATGAGGACTTCTTTGGTTATTTCTTTAGAGAATTTTGTAAAAATTAATCTACAGATTTATGCAGAATGATTTCGGGAGTATCATAAATGAAAGCTAAAACTAAAAAAAAATAGCTTTTTACCTTTTATTTAATGTTTACAATGCGAATCTAAAGGACAAAAAAGACTATATTGTAAATAAATCATATGAACATTTTTATATTAGTCAATAATATTAATGGAACTTATTAAAAGACCAAATAAAAATTAATTTACACACATTTACACAAGTAAAATAAATGTACTCAATGTTGGCCTAAAAATCTGCGGAAATCTTCCGATTTCTGCAAGCGCAGATTCTGATTCAGATTCTAGTTATGACATAGCCTATGCAATTTCCAAGCCTCTACCCTGAAAACTGAGTTTGTTTAGTTGTTAGTTACATCACACATTACGTAAAGCAAATCTTTTGGTGTTCTCTACAGTCTCTGCATCTAGCCGATGTGAATGTTATCACTCGATTGAATGGGCATTATCAATGGCAATCAGCTGATAGATATTTGGCCAGTAGGAGCTTTCTGCACCAACTAGTAGGCTCAGAAGGCTGTTATCATCCATCCACATGGTTAATCAGCTATAGATCACATACGGCTGTGGCTGGAAGTTAACAAGAATTCTATATATTATTTATTAAATTTCCCAATAATTGTATTTTATTAACATCTACCCCAACCCCAACCCTAAACCCAACCGTCACAGTCAGTGGCGCCTGCAGTCAAACGGATTATTGTACGGAGCGCGTCTGTCAGTCAGCGCTTATACATGCATTCACTGGTTCAGAGGTTGCATATAAAAAGGCGACGGTCGACGCACAGCTTTAATGTAAAGAAAGTGGGATAGAATGGCAAAAACGGGAGGGTTTACATGAATGAAGGGAACAGAAAGTGTTAGTGGAGAAACAGTTTTGCGAGATAACGCAAAACATCTTTGCGAGGGAACGCAAAAAACCTTTAAAATAGCTGTTTTCCTATCACTCAGTTTTTATTTCCACCCAGTTTTTTTTTCTTCCACCAATTTTTTCCCCACCATCACGTCCCTTCCGGGTCTCTGCAATAACTCGACTGTGCGGGTGGATGATATTCGATCAGTGTAAAGTAAGGATTCAATTAATGCTTCACTAATTGTACTGTGACACAATCTTCTGTTATATATGTTGCATTTTTTTAATATGTCATAATTTTAAAGATTACGTCTTGCGCATCTGATTTTCCTTTGTGCTGATGTGCTTTGTTACATTTAGATTTCAAAGACAAAATAATAATTTTAAAAAAGAAACGAATAGATGAATGTCATAACGGATATCCTTATGTAGCCTTTGAAAGTAAGCATCAGTGTTTCTTGATATGATTGGGGGAAGGGGGCGGGGCGGTGCTAGATTTGTGCGTACCTTTGAATAAAATCCTGCAGGTGGAATAAAATCCAAATAGATCTGAATCCGGAGTCTTCTATATTAGTATAGCTGACTAATCATGTGGATGCATGATAACGGCGTCCTCTGCCTACTATTAGGTGCAGAAGGCCCCTACTGGCCCATACCTATCAGATGTCTGGATCCAGGAAATGTGATGTGCGGTGTCAGGCTTAACAAGCGGATTATAACTGGGAGTTTGACTTTTATTGTGGATGTAAAGTTTAAAGATCTTACCGTGCACCGGCTGGGCTTCTTCAATATAGGTGGTGTTACTTTTCTCGGTGTCATCGCTAGCCCTGAGGCAAACAATGAACCTTCAATGCAAACACGTAACCAAATCAAATTTGCATTTATGGTAAGATCAGTCAGCACATGCAACATGTTGACAAACCAAATGGTGACAACATTTATAATAAAGAAAACCCATAAAAGGCATGGAAGCCTAACATTTCATATAAAATGGTTTGATCATTTTAATTATAACAAATGGACGTAAGTAAATATTATGTTTAAAAAACTTTTTGTTCTATTTTGCAAATTTATTTTTAATTACAATATTATATTATATTATCTTATATTATATTATATTATATTATATAGCTCTGTCTGGTTCTCAAATCTGATTGGCTGATAGCTGTGCGATATTCTGCAATATCTAAACTCTTACAGCCTCCTCACCCTTCTGTATTACTCCGCCCTCATAGAGTGACAGTAGATTAATAAACTCAATACATGTACTTTTAAGGCTTTTTATGTAAGAATGTGGTTGTTTTGATTGGATCTATGCAGTTTATTCATAAGGATAGTGCCTATTTTAATTATTTATAATTTCTGAGATACAGCTTCTTGGCATCCATTATCCTTTCATAGGAGCAGAGCAAAGACAGTTGATGTTGTCCATCCACAAGATGGTGACTTAGACAGCATAATAAGTCCTTAGAGAAGAAAAGATTGGCATGTTTTTTAAACTACGGCTGATCCAAACATTATAAAATTGTTGAGTGACATTTTAAGTCGAGCTCACTCTTTTTATGTGCTTAAATTGTACCATAGTAATTGTATTCTATTGAGTGTTAGATGGTACACACATCAGGAATGTATGTATTTTGTGTTGGCCATTCTTTGTATAACCCTGAGTTACTTTTTAGTTACCCATCTGTTTGTTTCTAATGTGTCTCCTGTTTTCATTACTGCAATCTAGTTCAGTAAAAAGAAAGAAAGAAGAAATGCCTGCATGTGTTTAGCGTTTTTCCTTATCGCAAAGACAACAGTAATCTGGTAGTGTTTGCGCTGCTTTGGCTTTTTCAGGGTTAATTATTGTGATATTCCAATTGCGACAAAAAAATAGTGGGAAATCTCTGTAGACTGATGGCATTTTATACTGTTCAGCTTTATAATCTTAAAATGTAAGCAAAATCACCTGTTTTGTCATCACTTTAGACATTACGCTAGAGAATCATTCAAATACTCGCTGTAAAGTGACATTGGTAAACTAGTAATGGTTTCTGCTGTTCTGACGTCAGCTGCAGATGTTAATGAATGGCGGAAGAAAGTAGTTCCTTATACAAAAGGATTTTTAGAATCTCTAGATATTTGATATTTATTGATATTATATTATATTATATTATATTATATTATATTATATTATATTATATTATATTATATTATATTATATTATATTTATTATATTATGTTATATTATACTTAGAGCAGCAAATATATATTAAATTATAATGTAATTGTTAATAAACACTAAAACAAAATCCTAAAATATATATTTATTGATTTTGGTATTCATGATTAGTGATCCTACACTACAGTCATTTTTTTTCCAATCAAATGATGGATCGAAAATTTCTTTTGAAGCTGCAACAAAGCAAAGAAAGAATACTGGAGTGCATTTACCAAGAAAACACTATTTCAGTCTTTCTGCATTTAAATGTCATGTTTAATTCAGTGTGTTCCTTCGTACTGATTTGCAAAATGTAGCAATGTCTGAGTGATTTTTTAATGTTATCTGCAATCAGGCAACTGGTAGTAAATCGCAGTTAATGTCTGCAACGTAATTAAAACCAAATGAGATGTCCTGCAAAGACATCCTTTTCCAATATGATTTTATGGCATCTTGTGACATTGAGTTTTTGAAAGACTTAATCCACAAATGTCACTTGTGAATAACTCTCTATTATATTGACCTGCGTTGGCATCTAAATAAATACCATATGATAGCGACAATAACAACACTGTCTTTATTACGGCAATACACAGTTTCATTCGCCATAAGGCACTGTGGGTAATGAGAAATTGGAAATGAGTTTCCAGTCCTGTAACCACAAAGCACGATGGCACACTGTGAGTGTGTCTCTGTGTGTGTGTGTGTTAGTGGGTGTTGGCTAGAGTGCACTCTCTCCCGCACCAGGAGTGATTTATCGTGGCTGATGGCTGCTATGAGATCTCATTATACTCGTCATTTGTGTGAGCCTGCACTCCTCCAGGCTGCCTGGAGAGCAGACAGACTCTACACCTCTCAGCAGCCACTGAGAAATACAGCCAGCCTGTGACGAATGAGCACAGAAAACATTTTCACTGCTGAGCAGCCTTGGCTTCACGGCAGGATCAGGTTATTCCAGTTGAATCTCTGCCTCTTGCTTCTATTTGATGTATAATTTAGTGAGAAACATAATCATATGCATCATCTGTCAGAATTGTATGGTATGCGCCAATCTGCAAATGTGACGAAGGCAGGTTTGTAAGAGGGTAAATATGAGTAATGTGGGTAAACCTCATTCCCTTGCCCTTCATAGACACACTAGCTACTGACGCTAGAGGCGCTCTGCACTGACCCTAGAGGCTGTCCGCCTGCCTCACATACTCAAAAATAAGTTTGAATTCTGAGTAAAAAGTGCAAGTAAAATGAGGGATACTAGCAACTGATGTTACAAGCTGCGTTTTTTTTATGTCCTTGCTAGTGCCCTTGGTTCCCAATGCTAAAACTGCCAGTTTGAATCTTTCTCAGAGTCGAGCGAGTACAACTGGAGGGGTTACATTGGTGCCATGGCTGGGATAGGAGTAATGTTGATGGGGGAGGGGGTGGGGAGGGGGTCAAGTCTAACGGAGGACAGCTTGTAAGATTATGCTAATGACTGATGTTAGAGTCTTCGATGTCTTTGTTAGGGGGCATTTTTAATCCCTCACAGAGTGTGGAAGTGATATACTGTATTGGTGCCGTGACCCGGATGCAAATGAGGTTTAGGCTGTTTGGAGAAAAATTCTCCTGGTCTCAAAGGACTTACTAGCAACTGATGCTGGAATGCGTTTGCAAAAGATGCCTATTCAGATTCCACTTGTAACTGGAGTGTTTACATTAGTGAGGTCTTCAAGTAAACCTCTTGCTCTTAGATTCAAAAGGACAGTTTCTCAGTCAAGCGAGTACAACTAGAGGGGTTACATTGGTGCCATAGCTGGGATAGGAGTAATGTTGATGGGGGAAGGGGGTGGGGGCCAAGTGTAACGGAGGACAGCTTGTAAGACTATGCTAATGACTGATGTTAGAGTCTTTGGTGTCTTTGTTAGGGGGCATTTTTAATGCCTCCCAGAGTGTGGAAGTGATATACTGTATTGGTGCCGTGACCCGGATGCAAATGAGGTTTAGACTGTCTTGGAGAAAATTTCTCCTGGTCTCGAAGGATGTACTAGCAACTGATGCTAGGATCTTTTGTCAAAGATGCCTATTCAGATTCCACTAGTGACCGAAGTGTTTACGTTGGTGAGGTGTGCAAGTAAACCTCATGCTCTTAGATTTAAAGGGATAGTTTTTAGTTTAATGTTGATGGGGGAGGCTGGTGGAAGGGTCAAGTGTAATGAATGACTGCTAGTAAGATTATGCTAATGCCCTATTTAAATTCCACTAGTGAACAAACTGTTCACATTGGTGCAAGTAAACCTCGTGCTCTTAGATTTAAAGGGTAGTGAAAAATTCTGTCATCATTTACGTAGTTTACATTTACTACATCATTTACAAAAATATGTATAATTTTTTTTGAATGCTGAAAATCTGTAGTCATTGACATACATAGTAGAAAAAAAAACAAATCATATAGATGTCAATGGTTACAGGTTTGCAACATTCTTCAAAATATCTTCTTTAGAACAAGTGAAGGTTGAATAAATAATGAAAGAATTAAAATCTTTGGGTGAACTATACCTTTATCCCTTTAACTGATTCTGTGTGCGCACATCTCAGGTTTAAGTCGCTTTGATAGTGGGAGATGTGGAACCTGTCATAATAATGGATATGCAAAATGTTTTAAATTTCATTTTGCATTTCATTGATACCATTTTCATTTGTTTATGTGTTTTATTATGCTTATGTTGTATTTAAGTTAGAGCTATAAAAACACAAATATCTAAACATAAAAAGTGTGTCCTAATCTAAACCTCATGCAGTTTTAGTCATGTGGTGCGACCATCTGTCTGACAGTGCAAAAATATTATGGAAATAAAAATACAAATAAAAAATGATAGTATTTAAATATAAAAAAGTAAGTCTAACATTAATCATTTACTGTTCATTTTGCATGTTTAAAACAAAAACACATTTATCAAATAAAAAAGTGCATATTGACTGTACTATCAGTGTTAACAAACTAGGGAAAATGACAAAAACACAAAATAAAACTAAACATTGATCTTAAATTAAAATGAAAACTGAAAAAAAGATCATTAAAATATTAAACGTTTAATTGTACTAATATCATTTATAATATAAATTCATATAAATATCATCACTTATATGAACTCTGCTAAAACTACTGCTAATAACCAGTTATATTTTTAAAATGGCAAGATACTTCTGTAGTTTTTTATGAATAAAACTTTTTTTATTTTTGTATTTTCTGTAAGCAATTTTTTTTAGGTTTGTTATTATTGTACATTTTTAAGATTTGTATCTTTTCATTTATTTTGTCGGAATAATTTTTTTTTAGATGTAATTGCTGTTAATTATGGTTTAACATAGAAATTAAACCAAATTAAAAATGAGACTGGAGACAAGTGGACTGGAGACTCTTATGTCTTGCCTGTCGGACGTGAAAGTCTGGTTATCTTTGAACTTTCTAGATTTTATGAGAGCAAAACTGAAACAATTGTGTTCGACTTGTCAAATTATTCTAGGACATCACCAGCTTATCTTGGTGAATTGGGTGTGTTATCTTTGATGATGGCTAAAGATTTGATAAACAGATTAACACAGTGGTCAAATTCTGCTTTTTTCAGCTTCAACTTTTAAAAACAGTCAAACCTATTTTATCTAGAAAAAAAATTTAGAAAAAAAATTAATGCTATTATTACTTCAAGATTGGACTACTCTAATGCGCTATATTTTGGCATCAGTCAGACAACTCTATCCCGCCTACAGCTAGTTCAAAATGCTACTGCAAGGCTTTTAACCAGCACCAAAAAATATGACCACATTACACCAGTTTTGCGCTCTCTGCACTGGTTGCCTGTGCACTATTGTGTCACTTTTAAAATTCTTCTCCTGGTTTTTAAATCTCTAAATGGCCTAGCTCCTTTCTACCTGTCAGACCTGTTGACTGAACATCAGCCTGGTCGGTCTCTTCGGTCATCTAACCAGAGACTAATTTAAATCCCAAAGTCGAGGTTGAAATGCAGGGGTGACCGGGCTTTAGCAGTAGATGGTCCTACCTTGTGGAATGCTCTGCCCCTCTGTATTAGGTCTATACCATATCTGTCTGTTTTTAAATCTAGGTTGAAAACTTACCTTTTTGATTTGGCATTTTATCAGTGAGAATTGTTTGTTTTTAGCTATAATAACTATTAGTGAAATTTGTTAGTTTAAGCTATAATTTTATATTTGTTCTTTGTGATTTGTATTGTTCAGCACATTGGTTAACCTTTGGTTGTGTGTAATAGAGCTATATAAATAAAATTGACATTAACATTGACATTGGCATTGACTAAATAAGTCAATATTATTTAATTATTTAGTTGCGATTTTAGCTATACCATTGCTACTATATATATATATATATATATATATATATATATATATATATATATATATATATATATATATATATGCACACACTGATCTGCCACTTTATTAGGTACACCTGTTTAACTCATGGCAGTCACAAGGCAGCAACTCAATGCATTTAGGCATATAGACATGATCAAGACGACCTGCTGCAGCTCAAACAGAGCATTAGAACAGGGAAGATAGGTGATTTAAGTGGCTTTGAACATTTGAACATTTTCTTGGCGTTTTTTGGGCCCATTAGTACCAACTGAGCATCTTGTCAATGCCACGGCCTACCTGAGTATTGTTGCTGACCAAGTCCATCCCTTTATGACCACAGTATACCCATCTTCTGATGGCTTCTGATGATCTTTTTAAACATGACAATGAGTTCACTGTACTCAAATGGCCTCCACAATCACCAGATTTCAATCCACTAGAGCACCTTTGGGATGTGGCGGAACGGGCGATTTGCATCATAGACAAGTACCTCAGAAATCTGCAGCAACTGCGTAATGCTATCATGTCAATATGGACCAAAACCTCTGAGGAATATTTCCAGTACCTTGTTGAATCTTTGCGACGAAGGATTAGGGCAGTTTTGAAGGCAAAAGCAGGTCCAACCCTGAACAAGTTAGGTGTACCCAATAAAGTAGCCGGTGTGTAGATGTATATGTTATGCATACACCTATATTTGTATTATATCCCACCTCCTAACATTTTTTCCAGACAAGAACTAAGCAGGAATACAAAGCAGGTTCAATATTATTCAAGGCCCTAACCCTAAAATCTGATTGGCTGACAGAAATTTGTCCAGGAATATGTATGAGGATTCAGACAATGTATGAGTTACAATGGATTCGTCTTACCATGCATGACGTCTGTCTCCTTCACAACAGCGGCGACAGACAATCAGAAGGACAGAGAGCAGGACCAGTGTCCCCCCGACAAAAATGGACAAGAGGACCAGCAGGAGGACGTAGCCATTCTGTGTCTCTGACGACAACGTGCCATTCTGCAAAAAAAAAAAAACCCAGAGAAAAACCCAACCAGTCACAATGGACATTCCTACTCAGAGTAAAACCGCATGACTTCAATTTTCATATTACATAGGTTTCTCCAATTCCACTGTGCTAATTTTTTGTGTCTCAAACCAGAAAGACTTTCAGTTTTGTTTGCCGGAGACATAAGCCAGAGATTTTTTTTTTGCATAACAGGCTTTTGTTTCAAAATTGGCTCCTACAGTGACATTACATAAAGCCTGGTTTCTGGAGACGAAGACTTTCAGGTGTGGAGGCTTTTGTGTCTGAGTTGAGACATTAAGTACAGTTTTCACCAAACCAAAGATAGACCTACAGCCACAGAGACAAGAACCATAGAGACAGAAGGTTTCATCCTCAAAGACATCAAAGCACAAAGGCATACAACACCTTTCACCCTGCCACCTGCTTCATTGTCATCTTCATTCATGCATCCGAAAAGGTGTGCAATGGAAAGAATGCTAACTAAGAGCAGAAGAACAAAGGCTGATCGAGCCCTTACAATAGCTCTTACCTTATCCCATGTTTCAATTGGTGGAGAAGAAACCCTAATTAACTAAAAGCCATTGTTCGCTTGAAGATCGAAGAAGTTTATTTATAGCCTCTTATCTATAAATTTGCAAATGAAGGAGTTCGGAAGGCCATTAGCCCACATTTGCGTAGCGTTTCTTTTTTAATAGAGGCACTCACAACTTAAGAACCAGGCACGTGCACACATAGGGCTCAACCTGTGCAGTGCACATGCCCTTTTTAGTCTTGAATAGAAAGTGCCCTTCCAAAATTATCTGAAGTGCTTCCGCGACAACCCCTGGTAAGAACAGTTTTGGAGTTCCTAGAACTATTGACAGAAGTACCTAGGTCTGGTTTGCAGGAAAGAAATTACTTTTGAGGGGAGTCAATTAGCTACTACTTCAGGGTAGTCTAACCAAGAAACTATATAGGAACACAATAGGAACTATAGTGATGTAAGTGTATGTCGACTGGGCATATGCATGTAAAAAAAATGGTGCAGTATTTTTTTTCTACATTTTATAAACTTTCACAAGTACGAGGTAGGGCATTTACTGTGTAAACCATGTCGGAATAGTTGGCGGTTCATTCCGCTGTGGCGACCTTTGATAAATAAGGGACTCAGCTAAAGGAAATTGAATGAATGAATGAACGAAGCTCCACAATACATACATTGGGAATCTAATGTGCACTTAATTTACTTGTCGCTATTGTCTGTGGTATTGAGCTCATTTCTAAGCCTTGATGATTAGCAATACAGGTTGTCATAGGTGATTTCACCTCTTAATCAACTTGTTATTCGGCACTTGATGTCACAGTCGGCTGCCTTACGTCATTCCTGCATTCTAGTGACTAAAATTGCAACCAGGGGCATTTTTGTTCTTGAGAATCGTTTTGTGGCTAGGTCCTATAACTAAGTTCCTACGACTACAAATGGGTTGAAAGTCTTTCTTTGAGAACGTGGAAACTGGATAGTGCCATCATGGTGGTCTCAATAAGAACAAAATAAAGACATGGATTAACAAAATAGACAAAATAATCCATAAAAACAATAATTATTTACTTTTCCTTCACACGTTACCTTTATCAAAAATTATGTTAGAACCAAATATGCAAAATTTGTCCAGTAAAAGCTTGTTGCTGAAAAACGTTGCTACAGCTTGGGTCCCAGTGTACTTAAAGTGAAATCAAACAACGAACTGATTCTTGGATGTCATTTTGAAAACAATCAAGCAAAAGTGGATATTAAGATTGTTTTTATGAGTTTTTAACTGCTTGTCAAAGCAAATTTTTCAGATTTTATTTTAAAATTGGGTTTTAAAACACCTTTAAATTACATTTGGTCTGTGGAAATAGGAAGGTGTGGCTCTGGGGGTCCGCCTTCTTTGACACGAAAGGTGCGTCTGACTCAGGCCCGGATTGGCTAATCGGGCGGACCAGGAGAATTCCCGGTGGGTCGGTCTGTTTTTTGGCTACAAGGGCTGGTGTCCCTAAATGCTTGCGCTCTCAGCAGTCGCACTGTTTTCATTTATTTATTTTTTTGACCAAAGCCTCACTCTTTTTGTACATTATTTTGCCGCAGCTCCACACTTTCTATTTATTTTCTCGCAGCCCCATGAAAAATGCATCATTAATGATGATATAACTATCATCTGACCCCAAACAGTGGCACCTTAGTGAATATAAGAATTCGAATAATTACACCTCCTCAATGAAAATCAGATTATTCACTACATTAATGAATCTAACATAACTTGATCAGAAATCTAAAAAGGGGTGAAAAAGATTAAGCCATCAATGGAAAGTAATACTGCGGTTAAGAGTCTTGCAGGTAACAGTGCAATACTTATTTTTTATTCCAAACACAGCAGCAAAACAGCGCCATTGTTGTCCAGTGGTCAGCAAGTTGCATTGCGACACCACCGACCAGAGTTCGACCTCACCTAAATAAATTTATTTTATTTTTTTCATTTTTAGTGTTAAGACATATAATACTGTTTGGGTTACTTATGTAGGTGTACATAATTTATTTTTATTTTTTTGTGTGACCACCGTTACAAAGGAATAGATATCTATAAAGAATTTTACACAGAATATATATTCAGATATTGCAGGAAAGGACATTTTGATTCTTTAAAGAATAGTGTTGGAGATTTATCTACCCTTTAATTTTCTCATATTTATATAAAAAATAAACATTTTGAAGTTCTAAAGCAGCTTTTTCTTTGAAAATTGAGAAATTGAGAATTGATAGAATCTGAATTGGAAATGACCTTGTTTCAATACAGTCAGTCGTGAACTGAGGTGGGCCGGTCTAAGGCTTGAAACTCAGGGCTGAAAAAAAGTCCCACTCCGGCCCTGGTCTGACTTGAACCACAGCTACAATCGATGGTCAATGAGATTAGCCGAGACACTTGTAGGGGTTTTATGAACACATTATATTAAAAATCAGTACGTTTGGAATTTAAGTTACTCCATTAAATTGATTAATTAAATAGGTTATAAAGCTCTGAAATATAAACAAAACATACTTTGATCACAAAAAATTATTTAAGTTAGGGCAGCACGATTAATCTCGATTTGACCCTCCACATTATCTTAATCCAGCATCTCTACGATTCAGCCAATTATATTTTTAATTTTAGGAAAAGCATAAAGGAAGCCTTTACCTTGTTTTACATGCATTGCTCAGCAATGTGGACACCTCCAAATAGTGTTGAAGGAGTATTTATGTATTTATATACTATAATTCAGCCAAAACGTATTTCTGTCTTAATGTAATGATGTATTCACAGCTGCGAATGAAACATGAGGTGACGCACTGGTTGTTTACTACTGAGAGGACAAGGACTTGCCCACGAATGATGTATGAACAGAACCTGCATTGTGAATAGCAGGTAATAAAGTTGTTAATAAAGATCAGTTTGTTGCACAGAGCGATTGTTTGAGAGCCAGGTGGGAATTATGATTTTCATGTATGTTTTTTTTCTTCAAAGTGACGGCAGCCAATGCATACATGGGACATATATGTTTCTGACATTTATATTCGACATATATGTGTTTTACATACAGTTGAAGTCAGAATTATTACTCCCTCTGAAATATTAGCCCCCTGTTTGTTTTTTCCCCAATTTCTGTTTTAACGAAGAGAAGATTTTTTCAACACATTTCTAATATAGAATGAATCGCCAACAGCAATTATGCAGCAGACGCCCTTCCAGCTGCAACCCATCACTGGGAAACACATACACACTCATTCACACACATACACTATGGCATAATTTTAGCATACCCACTTCACCTGTACAGCATTTCTTTGGACTTGTGGGGGAAACCAAAGCACCCAAAGGAAACCCACCAGAACATGGGCAGAACATGCAAACTCCACAAAGAAATGCCAACTGACCCAGCCAAGGCTCAAACCAGTGACCTTCTTGCTGTGAGGCGAATGTGCTACCCACTGCACCACAACGTTGCGATACAGTAGTTGTAATCTCTTAGTTAGCATCGTTTATGGTTATTTGTTTTGGAAGTCCATAATGAACTCCAAATACATGTGATCATTATCATTCATGTAATTGAGTTACTTTTTTTTGCCAAACAGGACAGTTACATGGCATCTGCTTTGTCTAAAGTCGGACAAAATTTCTTACTAAAACCATTTTTAATTCATTCACTTAATTCAGTTTGTAAAAATTAAACATCTGTGAGTAAAACAGTTTTGTAAAAAACAGTTTTAATACAGTTTTAGTGTTTAGACACAGAGTGTAATGCAATATGAGGTCATTCATTAACAAACTGTGTTTACACCGAACACAAAACAAATTCATCCCTGAATGCAACCTAAGTTCATTAATTTATAAGTATGTAAGAATTCTCTGTGAAAATCGATTAAAATGTGTGATGATTCAAATCGGTAGAAATGTTGAACGAATCGTGTTACATTTTTTGAACAGAGGGGGCGCTGTGTTCACAGGCGCAAACTCGATTTACCAACTTATCAGCGGCGAGCAAGAGGTGGGGCAGCAGAGTAAATTGACAGCTGTCAAGTGCGCCAGACAAAACACAAACAGTGTGCAAAGAAGTTTACTTTAACAGAACAACGAATATAGCTACGTTTCCATCCACTTATTTTTATGCGCATTTGGATATGCACATAAAAAACGGTTGATGGAAAACCTAAAATGCGCATTTTGAAAATGCACATAAAAAACATATGCGCATAACTGAGTAGGATAAACTTTGTATTCTATAAGAAAATATAATGTATAAACTGCAATGGGAACACTTTTACCAAACAAATTCCAGTATATGTATTAAAAAAGTCATGTGATATGTTATAAGGGATCATGTGATGACAAAAATGTGTGTCTATGGACAAACCAGCAGGCTGACCGCATTGTAAAACATCCGAAATGTTGTTTTGGCCTTTCTAAAAAGCCTTAACCGTCTCAGTATTAGTGTTATATACAGAAGAGTGTCTGTGCTCTTATAGGAGCGCTAGCATTTACAGCGAGGGAATGACAATCGATGCAGTACAGAGTTTGTTGTTGTATCAGAGATAAGTTATATTGATTACATATTACATATGTTATTTACCTAATGCTTTCAGCGTATTATAACAGCTTGTCACCCAGTAATAAGCAGAGTTATTCAGCAAAATTAACGTTAAAGTGAGCTTCATTTGCGATAAATAGCAACATTCCAATGGATATTGGATAGGACGAAATGGCCAAGCATCCAGCCTAAAATACACAACTATGAAACTCCAAGTGATTCTACAAAAGAAAACTTAAAGGCCTACAAGTCTTTGGATGGCAACAATGTTGTTCTGTGTGGTCATGTGCAAGAAATAATGTTCCATGATTACCAGATTCAAAAACCGAGGTTCTGCCTAGCCAAAAACAAGGAAAGAGGACGGAGCTGTACAAGGTCTGGGTAATCATCAACAAGCAAAACAACTGCATTCTGACAGCAAACTGCACCAAAGTGGAAGGGTATGTGAACGTACATTTTTACATTTCATTCTAAGCATTCAGTGTCCGCAGTTTAATTCACCAAATTTAACTGTTTTTGCTAAAATCATTGCTGCAATCAAAAAACGAGTAATGTGCATGATTCAGCATATCGAGAACTTACCTGATATAAAATGAGAACTGCCGAGTCAAGCATTTTTAATTAGGTCAGCTCTTACCATGGCTGTTAGCCAAAAACGTCTGCAGTTGGCATTAAAAGCAGTGTGGTGTATGGTAAAATTTAGGTTTTCTATTTTTGGACTATCGAATTTGGCATCCTACAACACAACACGACATGTTTGCTATTACAACTGGTCTTTTATTGCAACCGGTATGTGCAATTGAACATGTGACGTCATGCTTGACGTAGCTTAGAAATTTCCCTATTCATTTATTACATTTCCTTTGGCTTAGTTTCTGATTTATCAGGCGTCGTCACAGCAGATTGAATCGCCAGACTAAGTTCAGTTACCCAAATTTAGTTATCAAAACTTTCTTATTTAAACATCGCTCAACATTTTCTTTGTACTTGCTGTCAGTATTTACTCAAGTTCTGAATGAACTGACTCAAGAATGACTGATTCACAAATCAGGTATTTCTGTTCCTCACAAAGCAATCATTACACTTCTGATGATTAGTAAAATATATTGACATTTTTGATGCTTTTATAAATCTTTTTTGAAGGAAGCAAGAACACTCTTCAAACTATCTCTTTTTTATAACAAGTTTAGAACAGCATAAAGGTACATAAACAAATAATTTCTGAATGAACTTTTTCATTGACCTTACATTCAAGATGCAAAATCCCTGAACGTCCTTTAATTAGTGGCTGTTCCTGAATAAAGGTCTTCATTCTAATCTAATCGAATGATGCCGCTTATGCCGGTAATTGAAGTTCCTGACAGTAACTCAGGGGTCTGATGCTCTTTCACATCGTCTGACGGAGCGATGGATTCGGTCTGACTCAAAGTTCTCTCGCAAGGGCTAATTTGCTTAGATGTTGCGGTGGATCCAATTATGAGGGACGCAGAACAGGATATTTTTCGATTGGCATGTCTGGCGATAGCACTGGGAATGGACGTAATGAAAGTAACCAGCACAGGAAGGAAAAAAGCACAAGTACTTACGGTTGGGGGTTCTGCTGTTGAGTTTGTCAATATGGCAGAGTCATTGCTCATGGTCCAAGCCAGAGAGAGTGTCCCCCCTGAGGAAGACATTACAGGAAGTCAGGCAGCTGCTTTGAAGCCGGTTACAGCTCTTTAGAAGGATTCGACTTTTACAAGGAAAATAAAATGAAAGCATCCCTGAACAGAGAGTTTTTGTTTTTTTAATGAACATGACGTACTCAAGTTAAAGAATGAATAGAGTCAAAATTTCAGCTACAGGTTTCATCAGACATTTACTAGTTTATAAATGTCAGTTAATCAAAGACATAAAAAAGTGTCATACAGCTTAATTGTTTGACCTACACATTAGACGGTGCCTTGTTTTAAAAGATTTGAGCAAAAAATGTATCACTTTTACACATTTTTATTTTAAATTAGGTTTTAACCTCTTTACAGAAAGTATTTAATTATTAAAAAAAAAAAATTGTTTGTATTCTAACATATTCCAAGTATTTTATTTTCACTTTACATAAATGTTCTAATGTATATTTTCACATTTTATTTTTACAAAAGTTTTTAAAACAGACAATTTTATATTTCGTTGGTAGTCAAAACACTAATACCAATCATCTTAAATCTTCATATTTGGCCACTGTGATTCAAACCAGGTTTTATTCAATTGACAGAAAGTTTTTAATAATAAAAAAAAATTGTTTGAATTTTAACATAGTCCAAGTGTTTTATTTTCACTTTACATAAATGTTCTGTTTATTTTGACATTTTATTTTTTACACAAAAAAAAACCAGACAATTGTATGTATTTTATGATAGCCAACATGCAACAAAGTCTTTTGATTAATATTTTTATATATAATTTATTTTTAGGGGTTTTTAACCAAATAAAGCAAATATTTCATCGTTACTGACAGCAAAATGTTTGATAATAGTTAATTTTTTTAAATATGCAAGGATAATATTGAATAATTTGCATATATTTGCAAAAACACAAATAAAATAAACTTCTTTTATTATGCTCACATATTAAAGATTTGAGATATCTGTTTTTATCACTACTGTAGATAACAAAACATTTCCAACAGCCAGGAATAAAATGCTTCCCATGAATTTACAGTTGAAGTCAGAATTATTAAATAATTATTATTATTTTTAAATATTTCCCAAATTATGTTTAACAGAACATGAAAATTTCCACAGTATGTCTGATAATATTTTGTCTTCTGAAGAAAGTCTTATTTGTTTTATTTCAGCTAGAATAAAAGCAGTTTTTAAGTTTTTAAAAACATTTTAAACATTTTTTTCATCATTATACAATAACTTGCCTAATTAGCCTAACCTGCCAAGGTAACCTAGTTCAGTCTTTAAATGTGACTTAGAAGCGTCTTGAAAAAATCTAGTAAAATATTATTTACTGTCATCATGGCAAAGATATAATAAATCAGTTATTAAAGATGAGTTATTAAAACTATTATGTTTTGAAAAAAATCTTCCCTCCATTAAACAGACATTGGGGGGGGGGGGGGGGGGGGGAATAAACAGGGGGGCTAATAATTCTGACTTAAACTGTAAATAAAACTCTAGGAAACCAATTTTGAGAAAGCATATCCTATAAGGAAATTCATTGTAATATAAATGCATGAACAAATAGATAAATAAAAACTAAATAAACAGATCACCCAAAAATGAACCATCTGTCATCTTCCCATGTCTCTTGGAAACATTGTGCATTTTAAATTGTGACTCATTCAGGTGAGTAGGCTTGACAAACCACCTGTAGAAACACTCTTCTTATGCACCTGACACTTTATCCAATCTTACAAGAACTCAATAATGACAAGAATGTTTACTATAAATGTACCCCAATCATGTTACACTGCTTGCCACAATATTAAATAACTCTTGCACAATATTAAACCTTAAACACCTCTTTTGCACAATATTCAGCTTTAATACCTTTCTTGCACAATATCCGGCACATTATTGTTCAGTCTTGTGTAAAAATACTTGTATAGCCTGTCTTATGTGTATAGTTAAGTGTCTTATAGTATATGTCAGTACATGTATGTTTTTTTTTAATAGCTCTTATGTCAAGTGTTGCCTTTGTATTTATGATTCATTTATGTAGCACCGTTGTCCTGAGAGACTTGACATTTCGTTCCTCGTTCCTCCACACATGTAGCGGAATGACAATAAAGCTTTTGCTTGTTCCAAAACAGAGTATGTTTTGAAGAGATGTTTTGAGGAATCCTCAAACCATTGACTTCCAAAGTATTTGTTTTTCCTTCAACAGGTTACAGGTTTCCCCACATTCTTTAATACATCATCTTTTGTGTTCAACACAATTAAAAAAAACTCAAACAGGTTTTGTACAAGTCAATGGTGTGTAAATGATGAGAAAATGTTCATTTTATTGGGCGAACTATCCCTTTAAATGTATTCCCAGTGTTTTCTTTTCAGATAAAAATATAGAAGCAAACACCTTATACCTTTTAAACCTTAAACAACAAACCCTAAACATATTTTGTGATCAATACAAACAAATACTTATGCAATTTTGTGACAAAACGTCACCCTATTCTTCCACGACAACCTTTTTCATTTCCTTGTTTATCATGCTGGCTGAGGCCCGGCAGCATATGCTCTCTTTAATACCATTAACGCCACAGCTTTTCTGCCTGAAACCGCAAAAAAAAAAGCCTCTCTCGCTCTCACACACTCATGCACACTCACCTCCCAAGAAGTCTGCGTTTCTTTAATGCTGCGACGCTGCCTTTTCCCCCATATTCTGAAGGCAGCGTGTGTTTGTGTGCATGAGATGCAGAGATAGCAGCGGGTTTAACGGCTTGGACTGCAAAGCCTTGAGCTCCTGCTGCAGCTTCTGCCCACCTACCTGTTCTCAGAGCTTCTCTCTCTTTCGCTTTCTCCCTCTCCGGCTCTTTAGCAATGTGCATTCCTGAGATCATTTAAGCTCAGTTGTTGCATTAGTATGAAGCTATATTGTCCTCATGTATTGTGTTATTGGATATTATAAGTATTGCGACAAGCCATTTGAACTATTAATGACTACTCTATTAGATTACTTTATCATTTTCCTAATTTTTCAATGTAAAAAAACACTTATTTTTACTATATCTAAGCTTTAAAAAATCTACTTTGTTGAAATAATCAGAATAGTCTCATAATAATAAGTCATATATTGGATTAAATTAGATATCTAAACACTATTTTTGTTTAACATATTTTACAGTCTTATTTAACAACCAACTATCACCAATGTTATGCAACATATGTCCATGCTGTCATGCCTGGCAGACTCTGCGGAGGTGTAGCACGTTCAAAAAAAAATCTTCTCATAAGCATTTCTTGGACTTTTTAATACAAATGCCTGTGTTTGTGTTGCTAGCAGTTATTTTATTTGAATAATACAAAGTATTATCCTCATCGTCAGTTGATCGTCAGTTAGGTTAGTGTAGCTATTTCATCATTGGTTATTAAATATTCAGAGGTAATATCAGTGGTAATAACGTGTAAAAATCTCAATCAAATGTGTACTTTATTCAGATTCAGAGTACTTCAGTTATTGCTGCTACTTTTGCCACCTTAATTGGTAGCCTACTAGCAACAAAATGGTTTTCGATTTAATAAAATAAAGCTATTTTTTGCTAAATATTCCATTGTTACTCGTAATAAATTGCACAAATCCAATATATATATATATATATATATATATATATATATATATATATATATATATATATATGTATGTATGTATGTATGTATGTATGTATGTATATTTATACGTTGCTAATTATTATTGTTATACAGTACTTATTATTATTGTTATTCTGTACTTAATTGAGTACTTATAATTGTATTGTCGCTTCTGTTTATCCTATTCCGTTTTCATTTTTCATAGTAGGCTACTTACTTTTAATGATTTATTATCAATTACATTATACACTTAACAGAGATAAATTGTAATTTTATTGGTAATTCATATGTTACTTATTTAGACAAGTGCTATTGTACTTAAACGGTTTTTGCTATTCCAGCTTTGCTACTTTCTAGTTCTAGCAGCTACTAAATACAATAGCTAAATAATACTTTTTAATACAAATGCATGTGTTTGTGTTACTAGCAGCTTTATTTTACATATTACAAAGTATTATCATCACTACTGATCGTCAGTTAGGTTTGTGTAGCTATTTCATCATTGGTTATTAAATATTCAGTTGTAATATCAGTGGAAGTAACGTATATAAAAATCTCAATTAAATGTGCACTTTATTCAGATACTTCAATTACAGTACATCAGTTATTGCTGCTATTTTTTTAAGCTTTACGTTTCATTGGTAGACAAGTAGCAACAAAAATATTTTTGATAACATGATTTTTTTTGGTAAATATTTCATTGTTACTGGTAATAAATTGCACGTATATATATATATATATATATATATATATATATATATATATATATATATATATATATATATATGTGTGTGTGTGTGTGTGTGTGTGTGTGTGTGTATATTTTCGATACTTATTATTATTGTTATTCGGTACTTATTTGAGAACAACTGTGTACTCATAATTGTATTGTTGTCGCTTCTGTTTATCCTATTCATTTTTCGTTTTCATGGTAGGCTACTTAACGACTTATTATCGATTACATTATACATTTATTTTAACAGAGATAGATACTATGTTATTGGGAATTCACATGTTATTTATTTAGACAAGTATTATTGTACTTAAACTGTTTCTGCTATTCCAGCTTTGCTACTTTCTAGTTCTAGCAGCTACTACAAACAATAGCTAATAATTAGCCTACTAGTAAAGCTGGAATAGCAAGTTGCTTAATTGAGATAATCACTGTCGCTAGTAAAACTAGTCAGTTTTTGGTTATGACTAGACTACAACACAGTTAGTTAAAATATATGAATGTTTAAACCGCTTGCCATAACAGCGTTATGTGAGCATCAATAGACGCTCGATAAACCCAAATACAAGATGGATTTAAATATCACTCCCAAAACAAAAGAGTTCAAGCATTTACAATAAACAGATAACCCGTAAAACGCAAAGTAAATCGGTTGTGTGCTTCCTCAGACCAGCAGAAACTCGTTGGCTGAAGATGCTCTCTCCACATTTCAGGCTATCATCACCCTCCAATAATAAAGCGCGATGTCATTCAAGACGCTGATCGAGGAAACAATAACTGTGTGAAAGACAGGCGAACCAAAACTCACCGAACTCTAATTCACGTGGTCCATGAGACGAAAGAGGGGAAGCTCGCGAACGATTCCACCGGTCTTCTCCTGAATTTGGGCTTTAAAATCTTTTTGTATTTATGAATGAAGCCCCCCGTTAAACACACCCACTCGCCCGTCGCCCAGTGAGAGGCGCAGACTGTGACGTCAAAAGTGAGGTACAGCGTTACTTATCACAAGTGTCTATCACGCCCTCGTCCTCTCATGATGTTATGGAAATGAGGTAATCCCCCATTTGAGTCAGTGAAAAATCTTCAGAAACGGGCATCCCCAAGCGGCCTGGGCGCAGTGCAGGTTTGGAAGAACATAGGCTATGGATCATACTTAACATAAATATAATAGCAGAGTAAATTGTAGGGAACAATTTTTTATTATTTAATGTGAATCATTAATAATTTCAACCTTATTTTATACTGGAAGGACTGTGAGAATGAATTAAATTCGTGCAATGGATATTTTGAAGTGACATAACGCCCCCTGCTGTTTGTAACGATCATTACACCCTTAATTTAGTCAGTGGGTTTTTCTCATTCAGTCATTCATTTATTCATTTTTCTTCGGCTTAGTCCCTGGGTCAGGGTTCGCCACAGCGGAATGAACCCCCAGGTATTTCTCATTGTTTTATATATTTCTTTAAAAAAAAAGGTTAGGTCCCTATCAACGTTTATTTTACTAAACACAAGATGGCTTTTAAAGATGGCCATAAATGAACATAAATTAAATTATTATTTATATTTTAAGAAATTACTATTTAATTTATTTTCTTTTTAGCTTAGTCCTTTTATTCATCAGGGGTCGCCACAGCAGAATGAACCCCCAACCTATCAAGAATGTTTTACACATGGATGCCCTTCCAGCTGCAACCCAGTGCAGGAAAACATCTATAAACACATTAATTCATACACATACACTACACGTCTAACTGTCAAAATGTCAGTTAGACCATACACTAAATGTCTTTGGAATCTTTATGTATAATTATGGAGTGTATTGTGTGTGCAGATGTGTATATATGTATAGAGTGTATCATGTGCCCATATTTATAGTGTGTATATGTATAGAGTGTATCATGTGCCTATATTTATAGTGTGTGTAAGTGTAAGGGGTGCATCATGTGTGCGTATGTATAGAGTGTATATATGTATTGTAAGGGGTGTATCATGTGTGTATTTGTAAGGGGTGTATTGAGTGTGTATATGTATGGGGTGTATAGATGTATAGAGTGTATCACGTGCCTATATTTGTGGAGTACATATGTATAGAGTGTGTATATGTAAGGGTTGTATCAAGTGTGCCTAAGTACATATAGTGTGTGTATTTGTAAGGGGTGTATCATGTGTGCGTATGTATAGACTGTGAATATGTATCAGGTGTATCATGTGTATATATGTATGGAGTGTATCATGTGTGCATAAGTATAGAGTGTGCATATGTAAGGGTTGTATCATGTGTGTATAAGTATAGAGTGTGTATATGTAAGGGGTGTATCATGTGTGCATAACTATAGAGTGTGTATTTTTAAGCGGTGTATAATGTGTGCATATGTATAGAGTGTGTATATGTAAGGGGTGTATCATGTGTGGGTATGTATAAAGTGTGTATATGTATGAAGGGTACCATGTATGCAATGTATGCACAGTATGTCATCATCACCTTCTAGTAGCTGAGTGGTAATGAGACTACCCCACACACCAGAGACCCAGGTTCTATCCCAGACCCTGACAGGGGTGTATCGTGTGTATGTAGTACTGTATATGTATAGGGTGTTTCATGTGTATATGTGGTGTATAAAATGTATCATGTATAAAATGTATCATATGTGTATTTGCAAGGGGTGTATTATGTGTGCACATATATAGAGTGTGTATATGTATGGGGTGTTTCATGTTCGTATATGTCTGCCTAACCTTTCTCACCAGAGACCTGGCTTCTATTCCAGCCCGACAGTGTGTGTCTTTATGTATAATTATAGAGTGTATTATGTGTGCGTATGTGTATATATGTATAGAGTGTATCATGTGCCTATATTTATAGAGTGTATATGTATAGAGTGTATCATGTGCCTATATTTATAGTGTGTGTATGTGTAAGGGGTGTATCATGTGTGCATTAAGTATAGAGTGTGTATATGTAAGGGGTGTATCATGTGTGCGTATGTATAGAGTGTGTGTATATGTAAGGGGTGTATCATGTGTGTGTATGTATAGTGTGTATTTGTAAGGGGTGTATCATGTGTGCATATGTATGGAGTGTGTCAATGTATAGAGTGTGTATATGTAAGGGGTGTATCATGTGTGTATATGTATGGGGTGTATTATGTGTGTATATGTCTGACTAACCTCTCACACCACAGATCTGGGTTCTATTCCAAAACCTGACAGTGTGTGTCTTTATGTATAATTATAGAGTGTATTATGTGTGCGTATGTGTATATATGTATAGAGTGTATCATGTGCCTATATTTATAGAATGTGTATATGTAAGGGGTGCATCATGTGTGCGTATGTAAAGAGTGTATATATGTATGGGGTGTATTGAGTGTGTATATGTATGGGGTGTATAGATGTATAGAGTGTATCATGTGTCTATATTTGTGGAGTACATATGTATAGAGTGTGTATATGTAAGACCGACAGTGTGTGTCTTTATGTATAATTATAGAGTGTATTATATGTGCGAATGTGTATATATAGAGTGTATCATGTGCCTATATTTATAGAGTGTGTATATGTAAGGGGTGCATCATGTGTGCGTATGTATAGAGTGTATATATGTAAGGGGTGTATCATGTGTGTATTTGTAAGGGGTGTATTGAGTGTGTATATGTATGGGGTGTATAGATGTATAGAGTGTATCATGTGCCTATATTTGTGGAGTACATATGTATAGAGTGTGTATATGTAAGGGTTGTATCAAGTGTGCCTAAGTATAGTGTGTGTATTTGTAAGGGGTGTATCATGTATGCGTATGTATAGAGTGTGTATATGTATCAGGTGTATCATGTGTATATATGTATGGAGTGTATCATGTGTGCATAAGTATAGAGTGTGCATATATAAGGGTTGTATCATGTATGCATAAGTATAGAGTGTGTATTTTTAAGTGGTGTATCATGTGTGCATATGTATAGAGTGTGTATATGTATGAAGTGTACAATGTATGCAATGTATGCAGAATTATCATCACCTTCCAGTAGCTGAGTGGTAATGTGACTAACCTCTCACACCAGAGACCCGGGTTCTATCCCAGACCCTGACAGGGGTTTATCGTGTATATGTATAGAGTATAGAGTGTATGGAGTATATGTATAAGGGATGTATCATTTGTGTGTATGTATAAAGTGTGTATTTGTAAGGGGTGTATCATGTGTGCGTATGTACAGAGTGTGTATTTGTAAGAGGTTTATCATGTGTGTGTGTGTATCTATAGAGTGTGTATTTGTAAGGGGTGTGTATATGTAAAAAGTGTAATATGTATATGTGCCTATATGTACGGAGTGTATCATGTGTGCAAAAGTGTAGAGTGTGTATTTGTAAGAGGTGTATCATGTGTGCGTGTATATATAAAGAGAGTGTATATCTAAGGGGTATAGAGTGTGTATATGTATAGAGTGTATCATGTGTGCATAAGTATAGAGTGTGTATTTGTAAGGGGTGTATCATGTGTGCATATGTATAGAGTGTGCATTTGTAAGGCGTGTATCATGTGTGCATTTGTATAGAGTGTGTATATGTAAGGGGTGTATCATTTGTGTGTATGTATAAAGAGTGTATATGTATATCTTCTAGTAGCTGAGTGGTAATGTGACTAACCTCTCAGACCAGAGACCTGGGTTCTATCCCAGACCCTCACAGATTATGTGTAGAGTATGTGTCTTTATGTATAATTATGGAGTGCATCATGTTTGTGTATATGTATAAAGTGTCTCATGTGCCTATATGTGTAGAGTGTATCATGTGTGCAAATGTAAGGGGTGTATCATGTGTGCAGAAGTATGTGTGCGGATGTATAGAGTGTGTATATGTATGGAATGTATCATGTGTGTATATGTATTCAATGTATGCAGAGTGTTTATCAACTTCTAGTAACTCAGTGGTAATGTGACAGAAGTTTATTGTGTGTATGTATAGAGTGTATCATGTGTGCATAAGTATAGAGTGTGTAGCATATTTATGGTGTGTACCATGTGTGTATATTTATGCGGAGAACTTATTAACTTCCAGTAGCTGAGTGGTAAAGTGACTCATATGAGGTGCCGTGTAGGATTTAAATCAAACTTTGCTTATCAACACATACATAAAACACATGCATATACACCTATAAATTACTCACATATACACCTATACTACTGGATGTTCAAAACAACATAGATGAAACTTGTGTATATACATATAAACTTGATGCATGAACACACCCACATACACATGCGCATACATATAAACTCGATCCTCACATAAACACCCACATTAACACACGCACATACATATAAACTTGCTGCATGCATACACACTCATACACACTTGCATATACATATAAACTTACTGCATGCAAATACACTTATACACACACGCATATACATATAAACTCGATTCTCACATAAATACCCACATTTATACGCATATACATATAAACTCGCAGCATGCAAACACATATACACACTCGCATATACATATAAACTAGATCTATGCATATGCACCCACAACAACACACCCACATTCACAAACTGACTGCATGCAAACACACCTATACTGGCATATAGCCCAAATGCCTAAACTCAATGCATGTATGAAAAATGCATGTTATCAAAATAACACTCGCGCAAACATAGAAAAAATAAATAAATAAAGTTCACAAACATGTTTATCACGAATCTGGTTATTGCAAAGCTTATGAAACAGAAAGAATGCGATTAATTGAGGGATTAAATATGTTAACTTATGAACATATGTTATATAAAATATTAGTCTATATAAATAGACTATTTAAAATAAGAAATATTTTTATTTTAAACCTTTTAATTTAATTAGGTAATTACATACACAAATATAAATGGATGGATAGAACCCTTAAAGAACGTTCAAAAAGCAACCAGAACTATAAATATAAATGTATACTCAAACTAAACTCCTCTTTTCTATTGCAAATGTTAATGTAGCCTATAGTCTTCTTGTTTTGTTTTTAAATTATTATTAAATTATTTTTAATAAATTATTTTTAATTATTATGCTATTTATGTTTTTACAATGTGGGTGTCAAAATTGCAAGATTTTGGTATCATTTTGATTGTTAATTATTCAGCATAAACAAAAAAAAAAAAAAACGCTGATTGAAAGTCTGTTCATCATGTTGGTCAAGTTAACCCCCATGGAAAAGCTATATATACCATCTGGACAGTCCTTTTGTGTTTAATAACTACAAGTTATATTTTTACAGCGGCTGGCATCCAGCAGTTTGGTGCATTAGCCTGTTTATTGGTGACAGGAAAACCCACTTAAGTGCATTCCTGCCCCCTACTGGACATAACCCTTGATGAATAGTAACACCAATAATAAAACAAACATAAAAAAAACTAATATTAAACAAACATATTTTATTCAAAATGATTACTTAAGCAACCTTATATTTATTAAACCATAGTAACATTTTCATATATATATATATATATATATATATATATATATATATATATATATATATATATATATATATATATATATATATATATATATATATATATATATATATATATATATATATATATATATATATATATATATATATATATATATATATATATATATATATATATATATATATATATATATATATATATATATATATATATATATATATATATATATATATATATATATATATATATATATATATATATATATATATATATAGTGTGTATATGTATGGGATGTTTCATGCGTGCATAAGTATAGAGTGTGTATATGTAACGGGTGTCTCATGTGTGCAGAAGTATAGAGTGTGTATTTGTAAGAGGTGTATTATGTGTGCGTATGTATAGAGTGTGTATATGTACAGTATGGGGTGTATCATGTGTATATGTACGGAGTTTATCATGTAGCAATATGTATGGAGTGTATATTTATAGAGTGTGTATATGTAAAGGGTGTATGCAGTATGCAGATTTTAAAAAATATACAGTATGCAAGCGGCCATTTTTGCAGTACCGTGATATATATGTTGTACATTTGACTTAGCTATATGTAAAATCCAAATACAAACTTATAAGTCATGTAATTTGCATATTTTCCATATTTCAGATTTATATTTGGGACTAGGGCAGCATGGTGGCGCTATGGATAGCACTAGCTAGCACACAGCAACAAGGTCACTGGTTTAAGCTTTGGCTGGGTCAGTTGGCAAATTTGTGTGGAGTTTGCATGTTCTCCCCGTGTTCGTGTGGGTTTCCTCCAGGTGCTCCGGTTTCCCCCACAGTCTAAAGACATGCAGTATGGGTGAATTGAGTAAGCTAAATTGTCCGTAGTGTATGTGAGTCGATCAGTGTGTCTAGATGTTTCCCAGTGATGGGAAAACATATGCTGGATAAGTTGGTAGTTTATTCCGCTGTGACGAACCCAGCTTAATAAAGAGACTAAGAAAAAAGAAAATGAATGAATATTTGGGACTACAAAGTAAAAAGAAAGAAAAAACATTACTACAGTTTAGCGTTATACATTTTCCTATGGGAACAGGAAAATATACATAAAGGGAACTTTATATAAAAGACCATCTGACAGTGCACATTTTCATCAGGGAAATCCTAGATTTGTGTTTAACTTGAATGTGAATGAAAAGGTTATTAGTGACACATTTAAAATGTATTTTAATGCAATTTAAGATAAATTACTACCTAATGAAATTGTGTTTTTTATCTGAAAGCTTCATTTATTTAATTTGTTGTGCTCTAAACATTTATTTCTGTAATTCAATGTCCTTAAATTGTCTTCTGTATTTTGATTTAATTTTATTCTGTTTGTTCTATTCTATGGGTGCATATACAGATCTTGATCAATGAAGACATTTTGTACATTTCCTTCGGCAAATATATCAAAAAAACTAATTTTCGATTAGTCATATGCATTTCCATAAACTTGGATAGCTTTAAAGCATTTCAGTAGGCTTTTTGAACCCTGCAGATTACAGATTTTCATATAGTCGTATCTCTGCCAAATATTGTCTTACCAACAATACATCAGTAAAAGGCATATTTATTCAGTTTCCAAAAATGTAAATTTATGACCAGTGCTGGGGGTAATGCATTACAAGTAACGCAAGTTACGTAATAATATTAACAAGTAACAAGTAATGTAATGCAATCCTTTTAAAACTAGAGCAGCTGAAGGAAACCCACGCGAATGCAGGGAGAACATGCAAACTCCACCTAGAAATGCCAACCGGCCCTGCGAAGGCTTGAGCCAGCGACCCTGTTGCTGTGAGGCGACAGCACTACTTACTGCGCAGCCCACTTTATAGAATAATTAATACATTTTTAAAAATGGTTGGGTGAATGAAAATGAGTGTTATCATGTTGAATCACACACTCAATGAGAGAAAGAGCTCCCTGCAGGAACAGACAGACACCAAAATGGCAGAGCCTTACATTTCTGTGATGGAAGAATTCTAATTCTTTTGAACAAATGGAAGAAAAGGGGATAGTGCCAATGGGCAGTGATTATACTGAACTAATGAGACAAAAATAAAAAAGTAGCAAACACATTGCTTTCAACTTTCATTAATATGTATGGCATGTATAGTGTCAGGAGGTTCTCAGAAGGTAACGATATTCAAAAAAATGTTTTAATTATTTTTTAATGTAAATAAAGGTGTAGGTTATACAGTGTGTCAATAAATGAAGAACTCTATTAACAAGGAAAAGAAAAATACCCTGCAAGTTGTAAAAGAGATCAAGACTCAGGCAGGTATGAAAAAGTTACTCAAAAGTAATGTAACTTTCCAAAAAAAGTAACTAAGTTACGCCAATACTTACTTTTTGGGGGAGTAACTCGACATTGTAATGCATTGCTTTCTGAAGTAACTTTCCCCAACACTGCTTATGATTTGTGATCCAGGGTCACATAGACTACGTTCCCACATATTTGTTTAAAAACTACATATCCCATCAGCCCAGAGCTCGCGCAAAGCCTGGCGGGAAAGGTTGCCCATGCCCTTGTCCTATCAGCCGCTCACTCTCTGACTGACAGTCTGTGTGGACAGGGAAGCCGAGTCTTGTGCATTGCAGTGCGGTAAGGGTCGGTTTGCTTCTCCGTGGTGAAAATGTTTGCAGCGAGGTTTCTTCTCCGTCGCGCGGCCCCCGCGCTCAGACACGCGCGCTCTTATGCCGACGCGCCCTCCGCTCAGATGTCCTTCACTTTCGCATCACCCACAGAGGTACTCGGGCCTACACGCTCGGCTAACATGCTAATATTAGCATGAACACCGGCTGTGATGTGTTCTGTATTATTTCATGTCGCTTAATATGTTCAGGTTGCCATGTGTTTGCTGTTTGTTGTAGCTGTAGTATGTTTTGTTTGTGCGCGTGCATGTTGCACGTTCTATGTGGTAAACTTGTCACTAAATGAAGAGGTTGTGAAGTGGTTTTTGTCATTTCGCTTTATGGAGATTTCAATATATGGATAGAAATAATAGGATGGTAATTTCAGTTTAATAATTAGATTGTTTGGATTTCAGGTTTGTAAAATACGCACAGAAGTTTGAATGACTTTAGCAGACTGTTAGCATCGGCTCAGAGCACGTCTGTCACCTTGACTTTAATACAAAGCGTTTCAGGATGAAAATTACAATTTTGAATGCTTCACCTGATAAATTAAGTTAACTTATTTTTTTTAATTGTTCACCACTGAAATTATTGTTATATCGATATGAAGGTGTTTGAGCAAGAAGCCTGTTTCACAGCTTTTGTCTTTGCAACATTAGCTAGTCTAACTTTAAGTAGATAATTCATCCAATAATGTTTAATTTAATCGCCATTTACTCTTTGTCCAGTGGTATTAAAGCGTTGAGTTTTTTCTTGAACAAGATATTTTCAAGAAATCTGAAACCATGTAATCTATTGACTTCCATACTAGGGTAAACATATTATGAAGTGAGTGGTTACAGGTTTCCAACAATCTTCACAATATCTTATGTTTGTGTTCAGAAGAAGAAACGCAAATAGGTTTAAAGCAAGGGTAAGTAAATGATGGCGTAATATTCATTTTTGGGTTATCTTAGTCTTTTAAAAAGCTCAATATAATTGTTTAACAAAACTCAAGCTTTAATATCAGAGAAATTTCTGGAGTCAAATTGATCTTACAAAAATCTTACAATAGATTTAAATGATAAACTGTAAATTAAAAGCTGCATGCACTAAAAATATAAATCAAATAAACTAAAATTTAAACACTTTTTAAAGCCCAAAATGAAAATTTACTCTGCTCACTCTCCTTCAAGTGGTTCTAAAATAAATCTTTGAGTTCTTTCTTCAGTTGAACACTAAAGAAGATATTTTGAACAAAACTAAAAACCTGCGACCTTTGACTTCTTAGTAGGGAAAACAGATAATATGAGAGCCAATGGTTATAGGTTTTCAGCATTCTTCAAAATATCATCTTCTGTTTATAACAAGAAAGAAGCCCAAATAAGGTCTGAAACAATTAAAGGCTGAGTAACTGATGACAAAATTGTATTTTTATGGTGAATTATTCATTTAAGTAAACATGCACCTTGTTTCTGTTGAGGTAAAGTTGGTTTTATATTCACTCATTTACTCACTTAAGAATAGTAAGCACTTGTGGTGCACTACTTTGAATGTTTGGTCTGAAATAGCATGTATATATGCCTTTAAAACAACATTAGCACTCTTTCACTGACTGTGATGTTGTACTTTGACAGTTTTTGGCAGCTAATATGATTTCACTGCTTCGAATTTGCAAAGATTACTTTTTTGAAATTACAAAGTAATTTGAAGTTACAGTTCAAATGTGCAAATATAAAACCAGCTTTACCTTAATCTTGTTTCTGTGTCGATTAGCCCAGTATCTTGTCAAACAGACTTTACCATTGGCTAGTCATTAGTTCATCATTAGTTACAGCTAACTGAAAACATGTAACATTCCCTGTAAAGTTGGAATATTCATTAATATTTATATGTGTAATAACTTGTTTTGAACTACTTGTTTTATTGGGTTAAGGTTAGGTTAGTTTTTTTTTTACTTTGTTCATCTGATTCATTGAAGCTTGTTTGCTTTCTGCAGGTGTTTTTCAAGGAAGCCAGTGTAAAACAGATTGATGTCCCAACACTGACAGGCGCCTTTGGTATCCTCCCAGCCCACGTCCCCACACTGCAGGTGCTCCGGCCCGGTGTGGTCACCGTCTTCAATGACGATGGTTCCTCTAAGAAGTATTTTGGTGAGTTCTACCTGCAGTAAATCACGTGTATGCAGTTTGCCACAGTGGTCAGGTGCTTGACAGTGTAGTCCTGTTTCCTGGTTCCATTTTATTATCCTCAAAGATTTCAGGAAATTCCGAAAGCAGACAAATTTGAGATAAAATGTAGTAATACTGTGGAATGATATTGATTTGGGCAATCTGCTTTTCAATCAAATCATAGGTAATAAAAGCTTAATGTAAATAAATACATTAATTTTATTTATATCAAAGACTTTTTAAAAATGAACATGCATTTGAATTAAAGCTGCAGAAATGTATTTTAAATCAATTTCATTTCCAAAATATGATATTAGAATGCTATTCAAATAAATTAGATTAATTTAACAAAAAATAAGATATAGATTAGTTGAATAAACTAAATTGTCCGTAGTGTATGTGTGTGAATGAGTGTGTATGGATGTTTCACAGTACTGGGTTGTAGCTGGTAGGGCATCCGCTGTGTAAAACATGTGCTGGATAAGTTGGCGGTTCATTCTCCTTTGGCGACCCCTGATGAATAAGGAGACTTTATTTCAAAGTATTTATTTACCAAAGTAAAATGAACGAATAAATATTACTATTTACACATTTTTAATTACTTTATTTAATATTTAATGATTTGTGGGGTGATTTGTGGGTCATCGTGAGGTTCTTGTCATCAAAGGTTTGAATATTTGCCTCTTCGGTGTTCATCATTGTGCACAAGGAGCAGTAACTGCATCATTCCTGACGTCATTCATGGATATAAATTTAGACCTACCTATTGTGTATAGCATAATGATATTGTGTAGTCCTATAATGTGTGCGCATGAGGAAGTCGCTAAAATTATGCAAGATTATGAAATAGTTTAAAATGCGCGCGACTGCACTTTTTCCGCTGTCACAATTACATGTGGCGTCCACGTGCGCTCTATGTACATTATAAAGCTAGGATGGACATTTGTTAGTATCTTCTGCAAGTCATCTGTTTTTGTCATTTATTTAGCGCTACAGCCGGGCACCTTAAATGTAATACCTAAAACTTTAGTAAATTTAGATTATATTACTAATGTATCAAAATATATTTCATAATCAATTAAAACTATTAAAAAGCAAAGGGAAAGTGATAAACTCTTTTTAGTGTTGTGTAGTATTTTTTCAGGATGACATGTTAAAGTATATTAGGCTACTTTATTCAACTGGACTTAATACTTTAAGGCCTTTAAACTATTTAATGGCTTAAAACAGTTTGAATAGTTGACTGACTAGTAGTTTATGTATCACCTGGAATAAAGTCACTAAATTACAGGAAAATGTATATTCTGCAGGGCCCCAGGCACGTCGGGCCGGTGTGCTGCAAAGTTTAGTTCCAACCCCAATCAGACACACCTGGGCAAGCTAATCAAGCTCTTACTAGGCTTTCTAGAAACATTTTTGCAGGTGTGTTGAGGTAAGTTGGAGCTAAAATCTGCTGGACACCAGCCCTCCAGGACCCAGTTTGGACACCACTGCGTGTAGGCACAAGAGCACTAAACCGAATTTGTGGTGCCATCTAGTGGCGTTGTGTGGGTCTTTCCCAACATTAAAGTACAAAGGACTATATAAACCTATTAAATATTACTTGGATGACTATTAAACTGCTTAACATTGAAACTGATGAAATCAAAAATTAAAATTAAATTGTGTGGCCAATATCAATTATTTATAAAAAAAAATATATTTTTTAGAAGTATTGTTTCTATTATTTATAATTTAAAACACACACACACACACACACACAGATATATATAATTTATTTATTTTTTCTCGTCTTCCTTTTTTTTGTCCTCGGCTGATCACATGCTTGAACATGTTTAGGTAGTTAACTCTAATTTTGCCTTAATTAAAAAAATTGTAATTAAGTTTGATTTGTAACACGTGACCCAATTTCACCACCAAATTCTGCCATATAATAAAATTTTAAATAAAGGGGTCATGATCTAACAAACCATCTTGCCTTGGTCTTTTGCCATATAAGAGGTCATAGTATTACTGTAAAACATCCTCAAGTTTTAGAACTCAACTTTGTTGTTTCTCTAAAATCAGCTTATATTGAAGACAGTCTGACGCAATGATAGGAAACGGAATGTTCTAATTTATGATGTAAAAGTATATAAGCTGCACAGAATTTGCACACCTACTTCTACTGTACATTAAACTACTGTTAATATGCAAAACTTGTTAATATATTAGTCAGTCACAGCAGTGGACATTTTCTTCTGAGTTTACAATTGGCCACACACATTCAAACGGGGAGTTCTGATGAAGAGGGGGAAAGAAGCATGGAAAATACACTTCTAAGCTGTGAATTATTATTTTTTTTTAATGCAAAATAAATACAAGGGGTCATGAGAAAGCTATAAAGTAAAAACTCTAGTTATTCCATAACCCCTTAAATGTCATTTGAAAGCAGTGTTATTAAGATGATGAACAGTTTGATCATTTGCACATGTATTAAACACGCAAAAGAGAATGAAAATGGGAGGTTGGATGTGACTGTGATATTTTGATGCCCATTTACACACTTCAAAGATGGTGATTCATTTGTGCGACATGAATTTCTTTTGTGAATCAGGCAGATTGGAAAATGATCTGCCGTCAAGATGTCTGACTGCTCCTTTTATTGATGCGCGGATTCATTTATTACACACTGCATATAAATGTGTAAATCCATCCAGAAGAGGTCAGGCTTGTCCTACAAATTAGAGCCTCCTCAAGCGAGTGAAGTGCACTCTGTGAACTCCTGTGCTTGAGATGAGATGAGATGAGATGAGATGTGATGTGGTTTGTGTTTGCAGTGAGCAGTGGATCAGTCACCGTTAATGCAGACTCTTCAGTGCAGCTGCTGGCGGAGGAGGCCTTCCCACTGGAATCGCTGGATGTCGCAGTGAGTTTCTGATATGCTGTTATCTGCTAAAAGTAATATTTGGAAAACTCATTTCAATATATTTCAGTACTATAATTCCGATTTATTTTTAATGCATTACATTATGGAAGAAAAATTGACTGCCATTTCAAAAACATAAATAATAGTTTTCAGAAACACAATGTCAGATGTTTTTAGGTCTTTATTAAGGCTAAATAAGTTATTCTATGTCCTTAAATGCTTTAAATAGACCACAAGTGACCATTCCTAATCATTGAGAGCTCCAACTTGCTTAGAAGTATTCAATGCCAATAGCTAATGGCACACTTCATGGTGCACATTGTGGTCTTCCAGATTTACATTGGCCAGCATTTCTATGTTGTGTCCATGAAACTCTAGGGTGTCCCATTCATCATTTTAGCTTTCAGAATGGTGCCTTTTACCTGACATTTAAAATAATTATGTTTTAGATCTTTTGGTTTTGGTTGATGTCTGCGATCAGCAATTTTTGTCTAGTGACTTTAAATGAAATATTTTTAAATGTGCATCCTTCTAAAATTGTAAAAAATAAATAAATAAAAATTAAACCTTAAACTGTTTTAGATTTTTATCTTTTATATTATTATTATTATTTATGCATTTTACCTTTTGTATTATTTATTGAAGTTGATGACTTTTAATTAGAATATTTTTATGAAAATAGGAAAGTGGTATTTGTAAAATGTGGTAAACATTTTGATCTTGATCTGTTTTTTGCCATGACAGCTGAAATGGCAATAAACTCAATTCTCTCTGTAATAAAACTTTCTTTTCCGAAAAGTGTTTAGTAAAGCAACAAAAGGTTGCAAGCAACTTCAAAATAAAGGTTGTTCCATTTAAAACACCACTAACAAGAAAGTAAATATTATATAGCATTAACCGGCCCTTATGTGAGAACTTTGTCATTTTAATGAAGGAAATATGTCAACAAAATCCCGTTATCACAAGAAAATACCTTTTTAGAACATAAGGGAGTGAAAAAAATAAAAGCAAAATAGCCTATAATAGCATAGTAGCCTGTGAGTGGCAGCATTGCGTCACCGTAAATAAGTAGGTCTATTCAGTAGTATTAAAAATGAGCTTTTTTTTTTCTGATGATTTTATTTTTGTTATTTAAAATAATAAAAAATAAATTCATTTTAAAATTTTGCTCAAATGTCAACCTTGCCATGAAAAAAAAATTGGTTTTCACCAAAATACGTTTCTAAGTTTTTTTGTGTAAGCAAGTATTTTACAGTATTTTAGAAATACTCAAAAATGTATCTGTCAGTGTTTTCAAACTATTATATTTGATTTACCAAAGTCACACAAGTGGTAATTTCACATCTGTAACATCCAATAAGGAGAGGTGTCACATGCATAATGACACTTTTTTTTTTTTTTTTTTTTTTTATAAAATAAAAATTAAATTAAATCAATCATGTTTGTTCTATAAAGAGCCAACTCTTCTTCTTTTAATTAGCATTATTTCTTTTGGTTTGTGCAGTTAAATTTACAGAAGTTCTACAAAATATAATGCAATTTCGCAGACTTTTTTTGGTCACATCAATAAGACGTGTTTATTTTCCTCATTTAAAGTACAAAACATGTTTACAGATTTATATTTTTCTGGTCCCATAACTCTGTGGTCAGTTGTTCTGAAAATATAAACAGTGTTTCAATGTAATGTTAACATATACTTTTTATGTGAATTTATGTGTCGAGTTTTTACTGCAAATGTCACATCCAAAGCACTGGAGTTGCTTTTATCCATTTTTCACCATGAAAAGAAAACGCCTCGTATTTCAATTTCCGTTTTTTTTTTTTTGTTGTTGTTGTTTTTTTGTATTTTAAAATAGAAATAAAAAAAGCTTGTTTTTTTTTTTTTTGTTGTTTTCTAAAATAAAAATCCAATAACCAAAGGATACACGGAACTTATCAATCAGGGTATCTTCAGTAATCAGGGTATCTTCCTTCCATTCTATATCCGTTTTCAAACAAATAAAAGGAAAATTAAGAAAACGGCCGTTTTAAAAAAATTTTTTGCTCACAAAAAAACCCCCCCAAAAAAAATGATATTTTGGCTTTCCATTTCCAGATTTTCCACTGCCATTTTCAAGCACAACCTGGTTCTTTGTACGTGAATTACTTAGTTAGCTGGATTTGGTTATTGATGATTTGACATGATCTAGGAATGTTTCGTTCTTCAAAACTCATGCAAGAGGTGTTATAGCAACAGGTCTGGTAGCTTAAACCTGCTAGGGAGTAGGCTCATTTCATATAGACAGGATTAGATCAGGTCAGTTCAAGAAAGTTATAAAGATAGTTTCTACTGAATTCTGATATTTTCTTACAGTAGTATTTATATACACTTGGGGAAAATAATAAAAAAAAAAATATATATATAATATATATATATATATATATATATATATTTATATATATATATATATATGTGTGTGTGTGTGTGTGTGTGTGTGTGTGTGTGTGTTTAAAATATGTATATATATGTTTAAAATATGTATATTAATAAAACTTATGCAATCTGCACCCTTCGGTAAAAGTACATAGACTGCCACCTGGTGGTTCAAAAAGAAATTTTATCGATATTAACTTTTTAGGAACACTTTTTAGTGTAAAATCGCTTTAGTACAATTTGTGTATGATAATAGACATGTACAATATGCAGCTTTTTCAAAGGAATAATAATTTATGCTGTCATGAACATGTTTTGGCAGCTAACATGACAGTGATTTGATGCTTCACAAAAGTTGCAGACACATTTAACAATATCTAAAAGCTTTTGTGATGCAAAATTAATTTTACCAATAATTGAATATTAATCAGATGATGTCATTACGCTGCTGTGCTGTCAGACAATCGGTGCATTGCGTGATTCAGAGGATCGAAAGATCTATCCTTCACAGCGCACACGGCGCTCTCCGATCAGTTCATCCAGACATTCTAATCTGATTTGCGAACTTGTTTGAAAAACCAAATTAGCCAGAAATTAGTTATCAAGAATAAAAGATCCAGGATCTGTCAAATCATCTTAGATCATTTAATAATATATATAATATATAACAATAATATAATAATAATATATATAAACGGGCTAAGCTAAAAAGAAAATAAATAATTGATTGATAATATTAATTATAATAATATGCCTATAGTTCTTTCTTCTTTCTTAGTTTTCCTTTTTTTGTTTGAAAACGCATATGGAATGGATGAAAGGATACTCTGATTCTTATCACAACAAATGTATTTTTTCAAGTTTCAACACAGTTTTTTCTAGTGGAAGACCAGATGGAATTTGAGTTACCACTGAGCAAGAACCTTAGCATCAACAGGGAAAGATTGGAAGCAAATTAGTGCACTAAGGCAGGGGTTTTCAAACTGTGGGTCGCGACACACTAGTGGGTCACACAGTGAACAAAGAAGGGTCGCGCAATGACCTGCAGCTATATTTACATTGCAGTGAATCAAAACCAGTACGATTGATGGCTATAACTCAAAAACCTCTTACCCTAAAAAGATCTAAAGTGTGCTTCCTACAAAAAGACAAAGCTGGTTATGTTTCACAGCTGTCTTTTTCTTTTTTCGCTCGACATTACGACCACTGCTCCGTTTGAGCCCTCGCAATCTGCGTTTAGCTGGGAGAGCTCGCGCAGAGCGAAGCCCTCAGTAAGGGACCGTCGGAAAAGTGCTTATTTTTCTTTCTCCGTCCTGCGTGTTTTATATTAAACACTACAAATTTTCTCTTAAATGAGCACAAACAGTTACTAAAGTAGTCGAATGCTTCATTATAGGTCTGTGCATTCTTACATTAACACCTCTGTTATCAAACAAAACTCAATGAGAGATTCATTTGCTGCACTTCACTAAATAACTATGGTAACTTTAATCAATATGCAAATACAATTAAAAGTAAAATAGATTTTATAGCTTTATTTAATTTCTGGATTGGCCATTAATTTTAATAGACTAAACCTTTTATTTTATTGTCAATATTTTCTAATGTTTGCTATGTATTCTATCATTTGAAGCTATATGTTGTCCCATAGTTTTTTTACATCCCTACGTTGACCGATTGCTAATCAATAAATAGCTATAGTGCTATCTGTTAGTTTTAGCGTCACCTAATGTTATGGAAGGGCATAGATGTTATGGAAAATAGTAATGTAACTACCCCTATCAGTCCCATATTAGATCTATTCAGCTATTCAACTTCGAGCCTCATTATGTGCATATCAAATCGCAAAATCCAAAAAGCCGCACACCATATATTTTTGACTGCTTTGAATGGATACATTTTTTTTACCCATTTTTCCATATTAAAATATTATGGTGGGTCTGAAGATTGAATTACTTCCCTAGGTGGGTGCCGGAATAAAAAAAGTTTGGGAATCCCTGCACTAAGGTATGCAGCAATGTAGTAAGGATGTTCTCTCCTGTCACTGATAAACTATTTATTTTTTTATTTTAAACATGCTTATTTTTGGTAACAAAATGGGAAGTCTTCACCTCTTCCTCCGTAGTTTTATAAAACCTGATTGTAAATTCGCACACACTTGCGTTTCAGAAGCTCACTGGTGCCATCTTTTGCATCTAACCCATTAAGGTTGAAGTTGTAAATGGTACTCTAGGAACAAGTTTGAACACCCCTGGTTCAGTAAGGTTTTATAGAATTGTGCCTGAAATGTAGCTTTTAAAAGCCCAACAGACCGTCTTTTGTTTGTATGCATGCTATTTATCGTCCACACAACATTAATAAAAGCAAACACAATGGTCTTGGTTTTCTCTTAGTCACCTCTTTCTCTGAACGATTCGAGCGTTCAGCATGACGCATCGAAAACGAGCTGCCTCCAAATGGGATGTTCTTGGACATGCCCTTTCTCTGACACAGAATTAAGAGCACTTTTGGGTTCATTCCACATAAATAGGTCACTTTTTTATTCTACCTAGAGATAGCTGTGCTTGGGGTCTTGCTGGTTAATAAGGAAGGAAAGGTCAGTCACCGTTGAAGTGGTGCAGATGTGTCAAATCCCCACTGAGAGACCTTTAACTCCCAGCAATGTTTGGCCTTTACACTGTGTAATCGCCACTGTGACAAATGTCCTTCACAGGAAAGAGGCCACGTTTATTTGCTCACACGGCCATGCTAGCCTAGAATGTGGCTCAAGTAGCACTAGCATTGATTTTTAAGGCAAAGATGAGTTTTCTCACTTATAAGGTGCTCCAAGATATTGAAGTTCTGGGATCTATACGACACTCGTTCCAATTGATGGGACTTTTATAATGTCAGCCGTTATAGATTGAGTTGCCACACTATACATCACTGTCAAGATTACAGTGAGAGTGAACCAAATGTCAAAGAGAGCCTTGTCTTCTTTTACAGGCAGCGAAAGCGAACCTGGAGAAAGCCCAGTCAGAACTGGTCGGCGCTTCAGACGAGGCGACCCGGGCCGAGGTTCTGATCAGCATAGAGGCGAACGAAGCGATTGTCAAAGCGCTGGAGTAAATGGTCTGTTTGTTGGTACGTATACATTTTAGCAATATCCCATTGTGAAAATATTGTAGTTAAAGGGATAGTTCACCAAGAAAAAATTTATTTACTCACTATTTATATCCTCAAGTGTTCTTTAATCTTTGAGATTTAATTACAAAAGATGATATTTTATGCAAATCTGTAACTATTGACCTCCATAGTATGGAAAACAAGTACTTTGATTACAGGTTTGCAGCTTTCTTCTAGTCATTTTTGTGTGAAAGAAAGAAAATTGTAAATGTTTGAAACAACTAATAGGGCTGCATGATATTGGAAAAATCTTATATTGTGATATTTTGCTGTTTAAATACAATTTTGCAAGATGACTTAAATGAGTTCTTAATTTTATGATATTCTGGAGGGTCTAACAGATTTCAGGTGCAGAAATTCAATAATTAAATCTATAACACTATATAGTGTTCATTGTATAAATAATTAAAAACAATTGTTTTTTGTTACACCTCCAAACGTCCTCATTTCTTTTTCTTAAATGTTTCAAACTCACTTAAAATCTGTACATAGTCACAGGCCTTAAAACACATCTTTCACTCTATTACACTTTGCAGTGCCTCTACAAATAGGGCTGGGCGATATTGCAAAAGCGGTTATCACGAGAGCATGTTTCATATCATTCGGTATCGATAATTATTAAACCAATTCCTAACAATCCGTTTAGGAATATTATGATTTCTTTTATTCAACCACCTCAATTTCATTTACCAACATTATTGAACAAAAATATTTCAACAAAAAATTTGATTGCTTTATAATAAAATAAACACAAGTGTTAAAGAGACTCTTCAACTTCATCAATAAAATGTTACAATGTGTGTGCAATGGTAAAGGTAGATCACCATCTGTAAGGTGTCAATGATACAGTAAACCTTAAACTCTGTAAACAAAACCAATTATAATAATCAGATCTGAGCTTTCAAGTAAAGGAACTAACCATCATTATTCAAATACATATTGCAGCATTACAAACTGTGAAGTTGAATGACGATAAAAATCTTTCAGATGGGGAGCTAGTGACTGGGATGCACAAGAAAAGTAACCAAAAAGCCACTCTGGTCACATCATTTTGTATTTACAATCACTTCACTGCTGCTATACGGCACTCATTTTCACATGTGTTGTTATTCTGACCTGAAGTGACAAGCGCAAGCATGTGCTTTGTGTTTTTCTGGAGTAATTAGTCTGCTGTTATTACTGAAATTTGTATATTTTATACAAAGCATGAAGCAGATCGGTTAGTTCTAGTGCTCAAGGTATTCGGAAAAGTTCAGATGTTTTTCAAATATGTGCACCTGGAAAACCAGCACACGCCTCCATTGGAAAGTACAAACTAACACTCTAAGCTTATTGGCATTGCTTCCAATGAACGCGCTGAGCAGCCACGTTTTAATAAAACTATAGCGTTTCATACTGAAACTACATACCAAACTTTTTTTTCTTTATCGATATTGACAATAGTGTTTGGTCAATAAATACCTACATCGATTTCATACAGTCCAATTTACAAATGTGTAAAAAAAAAAGCCTTTGTGTGTGTGGTCCAAATATATAACATTTCTAAAATCTACAAGCGTAAAAATTATTTTGTTTTCAAAATTAAGTTTGTTTTGCCCTAAAACAAGCAAAAAAATCTTGTTTGGGTTAAAAGTAAGAATATGTTACTTAATCCACTGTCTTATTTTAAAATGTCTCAATTTGGCTTCTTATTTCTGATAACCAAACAATATTATTTACTTGTCTAGAAAAATGCTTCTTGATTTAGGAATTTTTCAATTTTGGACTAGAAATGTGACAAAAACACTAAGAAAAGCATTATTTTTGCAATGTGAACTGTGGCTCCTGATCAAATATAATAAGATTGTTTGATGTATCCACTATTGTGGATTTACTCGTTACAATATCTATGCTAAATCCATATTGTGCCCCCCTAGTGAGTAAATGACACATTTTTATTTTTTGGGTGAACTATCCCTTTAATACTGTATGTGAATGTTCTCTCATTCATTTATACCAATATCTGTCTTCTCAACAGAGAATTCTGTCGGTTTGAAAAGGTCTCCGGCTTTTTCTGTTCCCCACCCCAGTGAAGTCAAACCGCAAGACTTAACTGCTTGCTTTGTACAGTGGATGAAATTAACAATAAATTTATTTGAAATACACACAGTGTCATCTGCATTCCTTGCATTTTTCACAAACCAGAGCTGTAATTGCTGTTCTATTAATTAGTATTATAAATGCAGTCCTGTTCATGACTGAAAGGGGGCAGTATGGCACTGTTGAAATTTGAACTATGGAGCCATTTCTCAGAAGTGACTCGAGTGAATCTGTTCATCTTGATTATTCAGTCACTGACACAAGTTTTGTACAGACTGTACTATTTTTACCCATACTGCTTTTTATGCATGCACATCCTCAATTCTAGCCGTTATACCAATTGTCAGCCTACTCATGAGGCCCTAATATGCATTTTCTAGATCACTAAAACTGATAAACTATTACTCAGGCACATTCATAAGCCAGCTAGGGTTAGAAATGCAGCTTGTATATGCAGACAGAAGAGTTGTCTTTCAGACTGTGCTGCAAAAGTCTAGAATTTGCGTAAGTACAGGGTAATTTTACATGGCAGCTCCAGAGCTATAAGCATGTGCCGACTGGAGTTTTACGAGACTAAACCACATGCGTCTTTATGAACGTCAGACGTCTGTCGTGGCAACATGCTGCAGCTTGCTCCAGGCAGCACATGTACTGAATTGGCAGGGAACCCTTGCTGAAAGGAGTCCTTGTGCTTTTCTAAGAAAAGGTGTTTTATGTGTGCTAGTTTGTCTAAATTGTTACTTGCACTGCACAACTTCAATGTTAACTGTAAATTTGTGATGACTTACTCATGAAAAGTTGACCGAATAACAAAACCGTGCTGACAACAAGCTAATTTTCACTTGCTCTCAGAGCAGTGGTGTCAAAAATCAGTGTTGCACAGACATACGATTTTAGGTGGTTTAAGACACCACAAGGTTCTATTTGTGTCACACAATGTTCCGCTTGTTGCCATGTTTTTTTCTGCATCTCAAGTCTGAGTATAGCCTCTATTCTTAAGCTTCCTCTACAGGGTTGTCCTAATTACCATTTTGCATTCTTGAGAAAAAACAGTTTTAAATCAGAAGTGGTGCACTAGCAGAACTCTGCATTCATTTATGCTGGATGTCTTAGTATAGTACACCAAAGGGTTGGGGAGTATTGTTCTGTTAAATTGATGCATAATTAGCTTGCAATGTCCAAGGGGAAATGCCACTTTCGTTAGCATTATATTTAATGCATAAGTAGGCATGGCTATTTTTGTCTATTGTAGTGTTTATGCGCTGCGGACACAATCGCTGTTCTTTATTTCATGTTATTGCAATGGAAAAGCTGTGTTCTTAAAACATCAGCAGCATAGCAAGGCACAGAGCTTTAATATTTTGTTACATTAATGATGCATCGAACAGTTGCTGAAGGCCTCATAGCTGAATGTTTTTAGAACCGCTCTCTTATGTATCGCAGAAAAAAAAGAAACACTTCGGTGGACACTTAAGGCTGATTTATACTTTCGCGTCACGCACACATGTATGGTCCGGCGCAGCGGTCGCATAGCCCTTACCATGGCTGAAGTGGACTTTTTAAAAAAAACATTAACTACACATCACAACGACACGTAGCGCAAGCTTTGTGATTGGTCGTCTTGGTATCTGTGATGAGTGTGGGAGGTGCTGAGAGCCGCGAGCTCAATGGAGCGAGTGTCTAAGAAGCTCCAGTTGGAAACTTGTGCTTTGTGTCTACATTATGTTTAAAGTTGTTGCTCGTCCGCCGGCTCCTGCCTCTGAATGAGCAAGTATTAACGACTTGTACTTTAAGGTAACATTCAGAAAACACAAAACCTCTGCGAAGAAACTCGATACAGAGGGACATAACCTCACTGCCAGCTAGTGCTTTGTTAGTGTTATTGCAGAGCAACATAAACTGCACACAGAAGTATAAATGCACGACTATGCACAAGGCATGCACTGTTCACGCCGATCACTTGACGCAGAAGTATAAACCGGCCTTTACCTTGTGCCCCATTCACACGCTTCCGATTCACTTTAAATGGGTGATGTCAAGTGCTGCAAAACTGAACTGTGGGTCCGACGGCGCTGCTTCAGCTGCGTTGATCACTGCAAAGTTGGGACTTTCTCAACTTGTCAAGCGCCTAAGGAAGCATCAGCCAATCAAATCGCTGTATGCAAATACCCCAGCTCAGCTCAAACTTATTTCATTGGCTGACACGGCTATGACAATCATGCCAGCCCCAACTTCAGACACGCCCTCTGTCAAGCGTTGATGCTAAAGCCCCATGTGTATCGGGCGATATTCTTCCAGTTGGAAGGCTTGTTTAAGGACCACTTTCAAATATTTCAAAATAAGTTGAGAATAGGAATGGAGCATCCAGTTCTGCTAACTTAATGCGGTTTAATTCTTTAATTAGTACACTGACATTTATTTAACAAGGGGTCTTGCTAAATCATTGCAACCCGGTTCTTCTCCTGGAGGTAAAACTTCTTGCAGAGTCTCCAACAAACTCACCTAAAAGTTTCTGCTGATCTTTAAGACTTTAATCAGCTGTTTTAAGTGGCTAAACATGACTGGACACCGATTGTACAATTCTCTGTGGTAAGGACCCTCCAGGAACAGCATTGCGCACCTCTATTGTAGGGGTTTTCATTCTTTAGATTCTTTCTGGAAGATGGACAGTTGTAATAAAGCGGTGCTTGTAGCTCTGACCTTGTTTTGCGTGCAGTCTGCACAGCTTCAGACTCTCGGGTGGCTGTGAGATACTGCATGCAGGCTGCTGGGAGTGGGCGCAGAGGCCTGACGCTCACGCCTACGCAGGCATAAGGACCAGCGCAGATCTGCAACCAGTTCTGCAGTTACAGGAACTAAATAAGGCTGGAGTTCCGAGAAACGCAGCCGCTCGTAGGTCAGTCTTTTAAAGCTGTTTCTCAATGTAGACCCTACACCACATCCTTTTTTGTAGCTTTCACCCACACATGCAAAAGTTGTCTACAAATAGAAGCATTCTAGAGAAAGCTGCAAATCCACAACACACCTCAAAACCTTCTTGAACTTTGTCAGCTTTGCTCTAGTGATCTCAATTTATTTATTACATGTAGGTTTTAAGAGAACAGCACTTTTATTGACCACTAATGTTGAACATTTGCAGTACTAAGTGTAATAGCAAAAAAGTTTGTCCCAGTATTTTGTTTAAACTGGGTGGCTGCAAATAGTACCTTCACTGAGAGACCGCTGTCATTTATTTCAGAGATCCTGCACATACTAAACAATGGAGATGGATTTGAATGCTAATGGGTAACTTCCTTAAAGTATTGTAAAACGACTTCTTTTGGGCTAGCCTAGTCCGTTACATACCATGACAGAGGGGTAGAGCGTACTTCATTACTGATTGTGAATGCAGCTTCAGTTAAGGAAAGGATGTTCTAACTCTCTGAATCTCCCTCAGGCCAGCAGTGATGTTTGCGGCAGTCTTGCGTTCCACCAAGGAAAGTGTCACATTCCAGAAGGGTGAGGTTGTTAAATCAGTTGACTGGGAAAGCTAGGGTGAGGCGTGGGCACAAGGGTCTCTTGCAGAGTATAGTCCTATACACCAACTCTACCTCAGTTTCTTTAAAACTATGTTTGACTGCTCATGTATATTTTTACAGTGTTTTTAAAGGTATAAATTATATCTAGAGCTTGAGAAGCCCTGTAAGACACATCAAAAAGACCTGGCAGACAATTGAAAATCCTCCCCTCTAAACTTGCCAGAATCCAAAAACTTCCTGTAGAGTTTCCAGCCTACAAGTCTACGTCACCGACAAGTGTCTAGTCTCAAATTCACCAGTCAAGAAGCACTTTACTTATCCAGCCTCATCACTTTTTCCCCACCTAAGGTGTCCAGCTGGAAAATAGCTCTCATTTTCCCCTTAAGTGCAAGACATTGCCCCACAGAATGAATTACACTGTGTAATCATCCCTTCAGCGCTGCATGGAAAACCAATCGGGGAAATCCAAGTGGTCTCATAGACCTGCTTTTTCACCAAAAAAGGTAAACTTATGTGCATGTATGTCTAAGTGAAAGTAACACTGAATGAGTTTGCACATCGAATGTGAAATGCCTGCTAAAGCAACTATTGGTATAGGGGTGGCTAGAGGTATAGGTGGTGACCCTAGCAATCTCAGGCCTGGTTTATGCTAATAGGTTTAGTTTTAAAATGGCATTTGAAAAGCCATCTGTACACAATACTCCGCTGAAAAGGGGGTGAAAAGGAGATGAGACTGTACCAAAAAGCTGAGGATCAGGGGGTGGCGGGAGATGGGTCTGAAATACAGGTGACTCCTGTGAAAAATGCTTTTCCAAACGCTCTATTTTCAGCGCTCAAAAACTCTGGGGTAGTGTGAACGGAAGGTGTATCCATAGTAAAACATGCGTTTTAAAACTAAAACGTATTAGTGTAAACAGAGCCTCAGTCTAATTCTTATTGGACACACATGTTGATAAAAGGTAAACCTTTAATGCTTTATAAGGGCTTATGAATTTCAACTATTGCGCTTGCTTTTTTGCCTCCTGTTCTAAAAACGGAGTTTTGTGAATGTATAAAAGTATCGCTTTAAATGGAAAGGCCTATCAAATCTAGATTCAAATGTAGCCTCCTGAGCCTCACAGGGAGACTCGTGCTGGTTTCCTAATCACATGCTTTTTGTGCTGCAGCACTAGGAAAATATGCCATCGAGCTAGTTTCCATCTAGCTCTACCCAAGTAGACATAGCTCCATTTACATGCTTAAGCTGTTTCGGACAAGTCCAGAACTCTGGCACAAGGCCCCACGCCCGCATGCAAATGCGTGACGCTTTCCAGCGCTGGCAGACGGCAGATCAAACATTACCATGAGCCCAGACATCGATCTAATTCTGTCAGCTGGCCCAGTATTAGCAGCTGGTGGTGGGGCAGGGAAGGTTGGGCGGCTAGGCGAGGTCAGGAATGCACTGACTGTAGTTGCTTGATGGAAAACAATAATGTCAATTGGTCACTTACATTTATGGTGACGATAAGTAATGATGACGGTGGTTTTGCAGTGTCCAACCCCATAGC